TATATTAGTTCTATATATAAAAAAGGAGATAAAAAGTTGTGTCATAATTACAGAGGCATAACGGTTATTAGCTCAATGGGGAGGTTGTACGGTCGAGTACTTAAAAGAAGAATAGAAGACAACTTCCAAGAAATAGAAGAACAAACCGGTTTTGGAACGGGAAGATGTATAGACAATATATTAGTAATGGAAAAACGTAGAGGTCACAACTTATCTAGCCATTTAATATTTATAGATCTTGAAAAAGCATACGGCACGGTACCTTTGAAGAAAATGTTTAAAGTAGTAATGACAACCGGACTCAACAATGTATATGTGAGAGCCATCTGGAACCTATATAAAAATGCAACGGGTGTAATCAAGATGGGAGTACATAGATCGAACCGCTTTTCAGTGAACAAAGGATTAAAACAAAGCTGTAGCATGTCCCCTATTCTATTCAAATATATATTCAGGAAGCGCTAAGAGAGTGGAGGGCAAAATAGCAGACGATCAAGCTTGTGATGAAGACGACGCAGATTACATGCTGAGAAAACTGAAAGAACACTATGAGAATTGGGGACTGAATATGAATATGCAGAAGACTGAATATATGAAAGTAGGGGGAAAACACAAAGATGAAGATCCTGAATTATATATTAGAAAAATAAAAAGAGCTACAAATTATAAGTACTTGGGAAGCGTCGTAATGGAAGAAGGTAATTCAAAAACAGAAACTCAAAACAGAGCTCAGCAGGGAAGAAGAGCAACGCAAGCGTTTAATTCCTTGTTGTGGTCCAATGAATGATATTAAAACATGTACGAAAATTAGAATATATGAAGCAGTTGTGGAACCCATGTTAACGTACGGCGCAGAATGCTGGCAAATGACGAAGAACGACAAAAAAGTTATCGACACCGTAGAAATATATTCTGCTGCAGAACGACCCGACTTGAAAATGGCAAGTGAGATCTTGCCGAAACGTTGTTAGCAGAGGACTACCTCCACTTCGAGCCAGCCAGACCAGGCGCGGAGTAAAATCCGGAAGAATTTACAACACACACACACACACACACACACGCACATATATATATATATATATATATATATATATATATATATATATATATATATATATATATATATATATATATATATATATATATATATATATATATATATATATATATATATATATATATATATATATATGATGACACTATATTCCGGGATATCATTCGTTCGCTCGTTGAACTCCGACTGGAATCCTGCATCCGACTAGAATCCTGCAGACGTTTCGCCAAAATCTCACTTGGCATCTTCAATGCTCGCGCTCCGAAATCCCTTATCACATTTGCCCAACATTAATGTTAGTGATAAGTTGTCACATTCTATGGAAAATCCCGATTGTGTCTACAATGCCAGCAGTTGAACAATCAAGTAAAAAAGTATCAAGTCCTAATAATAGTATATTATGCAACAAGTGCGGTAAACCGCATTTGACTCAGGAGTTTATTTGACACGAACGGACCGAGTTTACCGAACGTGTTGCATACTATTCTTTTTCTATGACCGTTAGTTTTTGGGTACTAGCAAAACAACAGGAATACATTCACTGACATGACCGTCAGCATTCACAAACGCAAAAATTCAAAGCATGGGAAATATCTCCAAAAACATCCGATTGCTCCCAAACCCGTGCGGTAAAATCCCGGAAATGTCCGAAGTGGCTCGGATCCGTGGGAAACGAAACTGGCGTGGTAAAGTCTGTAGTTATTCTGCAAGTCATTCTCCAAGGGCAGTTCAACCAGGACCTCACAAATTCGATCAGGTAGAACTATTAAGCCTCCTCAGAAGCGTTACTTTACCACGTCAGTTTCGTTTCCCATACATCCGAGCCACTTCGGACATTTCCGGGATTTTACCGCACGGGTTTGGGAGCAATCGGATGTTTTCGGTGATATTTCCCACGCTTTGAATTTTGACGTTTGTCAAGTCTGACGGTCATGTCAGTAAATATATTCGTGTTGTTTTGCGAAAATGTAACCAAAAACTAACAGTCGTAGAAAAATTATAGTATGCAACACGTTCAGTAAACTTTTTAACTCACTCGTTTATTAAACATTCGCTCCGCTCGTGTCAAATAAACTCGTGAGTCAAATGCCGTTTACCGCACTTGTTGCATAATATACTATTATGAGTCATGTTGCCAATGTCGCCAACCATTTAGGAGAGAGAGAACACACAATAAGTTACAGACTGATGATAGAATATACAGTGCCGTCTGTGGTTTGACGACAACACCACACCAGGAGCCAGGTATTTTGTAACACCCAGCTGACGGGTGATATATATTTTATTAAACATAGAAGTGACGTATTAGAACATATCACTCAAAATTAAGGAACAAATTCGGTAGATTAACACAAGTGTTACATGTAGAAAATGGAACTAAATATTGTAATATAGATTTCAAAGAATACCTGAACACAAGGAATAGAATTAGAAACGACAGCATCTGGAAGAATGGAAGAATGAAAACAGACAATCGTACCATCATAGAAAGTTTAGCATTACCATAGCATCGGCTGTAAACAAAGATGCTTTAAATTCAGATAATCGAGGCAATTGCTATAAGGATATTAAAAATATTGAAAAAAAAATCAGGCATGGGATTTTACAACCCTATCAGAAAATAAGAATGCGATCGGATCAAAACCCATTTTGATCCAACATCCAAGATCGATTGAATTAACCGATCAAGGACCATTCCTCATCATTATAGAAGGTGTGTCATCGCAAGTGGGAAATATATATCCCATGAACATTGGCAAAATTCTGCCAATACCAATGTGCAAGGTATTATGAAAATCAATAGGAAGAAAGCAAATAAAATTGGGATTGAATTTAGAACCCAATTTGAACAGTTAAGAAGCTTGGCATAAAAGACAATAATTCTGTCAGTGATTAAGATGTTCAAGTCAGTTCTTAAAATGTTTTGTAAAACAAACAAATAGTGGGAATGTGTGATTAGTGACTTTTGTCTATTTTGGCAATACTGACTATCTAACCCAAGTTTGGATATTTGTTTTCTATACTGTGCTATTATTCGATGATTAGAAACGCCACGTGTGTGTTTTACCTTTTTTTTACTGTTTGTACCTTCAGAGTGCTTTATTAACTTGCAAATGACCATAGTACAACAACTTCCCGCTCATATTCTGTCAATTGATGGAAAATGTTTGCCAGTGGCGCAAAAGTTTCAATTTTTAGAAAGTTATGTTTGGGTAATGTTTTTATTTTTAAAACAATAAATATAACATCTCAAAAAATAATAATTCAAAAATGGTGCGTAGTAGAAACAATATTATTTTTTTTATTAGGTTAGTTTCTATAATTCGAAAAATATGAAAAATACCAAATCACAAAATCTTTGTTCGCCTGTTATTAGCGTAAATTCTGGCGATAGTTCTGAGAACGACATTGATATTTGCGATGTCGACCAAGAATACAAATTTTTACTGATGTACATAAAAATTGGAAAATTTGGACCCGAGCGGGAAAATTTGTTTGAAACGGGACCTGATTATTGGTCGAAACCACTTACTGCCAACGGTGTGGTCCATGAGACTCCACACTGTTTTCTTAGTGTGACTTAGACTAAAGGAACACTCGATTTATTTTTTTCTGTTGCGTCACCAACCATTAACAACCTGGGTCCGTACCCTGTCGGCGAGTTTAAACAGCAGTGAAATTAAACCCGACATGCACAGGCTTTGGATGTTGGAGTTAACATACACTGCAAAGGTTTATGGTCGGTTGTAAGTTCGAACTCCTTTCCATATAAATAAATGTGGAAATGTTCCACTGACCCACCAAGGCCAGGGCTTCTATTTCCGTATGGCAAATTTTTTTCATTTGCGGATAATCCATTGTCTGATAAGCAATTATGCGTGACTCACTTCAGGTGTGGCTATTGGGCAATAGTAGCCTAAATAAGTTCTTAAGTTTATCAAAAACCAATTGTTGATCCTTGTTCCAAACTATAATATTTTCCCTATTGGTTCCTTTTAATGCTCTTCTTACAGGTTCTGTAATAGTGGCTAAATTTGGCACGTAGATTGCGACATTATTAATTAATTAATAACATATTAATCTCAGAAAAGTTCTTAATTCTAAGGTGTTTTGAGATCTTCTAAAGCTCTTAATAGCTTCTGGTTTACTCGGAAATGCTTTAATTCCAGTGCTTGTCAGGATGTGTCTATAAAACATTATTTCTTTTCAAAGTTTCCATTACTTTATTTAGTCTGGCATCATGTTCCTCTTCTGTTTCCCCGAATAATAATAATAATAATAATAATAATAATAATCTTTTGTATCTAAATATACTAGTCTGCGCAGATTCGCAGTTTGTCGTCTGAATGGGGACAATTGGTGATATCTGGTGACATTCTGAATGTCGATCAACTGGTTCCATTATATTACTCTGAATCAATTTGTTAAGTTGCTTATCGACTTTATCCTAGAGTAGCATTGGTATTTTACGCAAAGGTTGAATAACTAGAAGTACATTATTATCGAATGAAATATATAAGGAAATTCCAATCATCTTCAAAAGAGGAATTTTTGGTGATTCTCATTTAATTGCTAATATTTTCAATCCTATTTGATAGCTGTTTTTTTTTCCTAGTAAATTTACTTGGCCATTCTTTACGACAGAAATCTTTGAATTTATTCCTTTATTAGCTATACAAATGTTCGCTTCAAATTATCCTAATAAAAGCAATGTTTCTGGGTTTGAGTATGATCGAAATACTATATCTGGTCTCTTCTCTTGATCTTCACCGCCTTTTCCTTTAGAAGTCGCCAAGGAGATTCACTTATAATCATGCTTTTGGTTAAACAAACTCCAATAATATATCTCTCGGATTTAACTAGTAATAATAATACAGTACAGGTTGTTGGGGTTTTCTCGCTTGATGTTGAAATAACAGCCACGCGAACTTCTCATGCTTTTACTGATTTTCAAAAGGAACAGAGATAGACTTCTACACTACCAATTTAAATAAAAAATTACATGTGGTCAATCCCCCCGTTTTGCGACCTAATTCTCTAATACTCTTCCCTTTTTCGTGGTGTCGTGCGGCGTTGCCACTATTGGCTCACATTCATAAAGTACATAAAAACTGAACACAGGTTTCAGTTTGGTATACTAATTTAATCTACCCATTTGCCAATAATTTACGCACTATCAATGCAATACGAATTTATTTCTATTGCCTGTTGGTGCGCAATATGAATTTAATACTTGCCAACACTTATTTAAGCATTTTCATTCTCATTATAGTAAACCAGTTACCCTTGTATCCATGGTACAATTATATAATGTCCAAATAAGGCAATATCTAAGTAAAATAGTAATTATGCAACAAGTGCGGTAAATAGCATTTGACTCACGAGTTTATTTGACACGAGCGGAGCGAGTGTTTAATAAACGAGTTACTTAAAAAGTTTATTTTTTGAACGTGTTGCATACTATACTTTTTCTACAACCGTTAGTTTTTGGGGAGTTTTCGCAAAACAACACGAATACATGCACTGACATAACCGTCACAATTCACAAACGTCAAAATTAAAGGCGTGGGAAATATTTCCGAAAACATCCGATTGCTCCCAAACCCATGCTGTAAAATCGCGGAAATGTTCGAAGTAGTTCGGATTATTCGTGGGGAACGAAACTGACGTGGTAAAGTGACGCTTCCCGCATGCTAGATCGGTATGTAATTGGGCATTTTACAGACGGAATTAGAAAAATAATATTCTATATTATCACAATGCACAAAGACTGCAAAACATAACCACATTTACTATGTTGGGAAGTTATGGACTAATAAAAACTAATAAAATGATATACATAAATAAAAGTCATATATTTTATATATTCAATTTAATAACAAAATTCTCATAAAACTCTAAATGTTACTACAATAAATTTAGGACTGAAAAATCACACTTGAAACACATTCGTTAATAGGTATAGACCAGCTATATCTTGTATTGTTCTTAGCTACTAACTATTTAGCCGAAATTAGCTGTTGACACTGATTTCACTACAGCACCGTCACAGAAAATTTCTAATATTTCAATAATGCAACAAATATGACACAATCTATATTAGAAGAGTTCAATCAATCTTTACGATATCATCGCCATTGGAAATAGATACAATGTGAGTTTTTAAATTCATACCAAAAGTATGAACAATGTTTACAGTATTTTTTTATGATCTTACATTTGCGGCAGCACATCGCTAACATTTAGTCTAACGTCCATAACATTAAATTTCCTATTAAAATTTGTACACTTACTTGTACAGTTTAATATTTTCGTATGCAGTGCTTTTCATTTATGTCTGTTTAAACCTTTCTCTGAAAGTATAAAATACAAAATGCAGAATTTTTTGGCGGGTTGATAATTTGAAAGCCCACAAAAAATTATTTAGTATGAAATGAAAAATATAAATAAAAATAGACACGAGAAGTTCTTACTGAAATGTGACATAGCATGTCAGGAATTATCAAATTGGTAATCTTTTTTGAGAAATTTCAAAGCTGTTTTGCTTTTTTAGTGTCCTGTAAGAGTATTAAACTTTTTGTTTGTATATATAAAATATATGTATGTTCTTTTTATATCGAATTTTTAGACAACTAAAAAAAAGTCGCAAAAAATAAAAATTTAATTTAATTATTGTCTAGATCGAAACAAAATCGATGTTTTTTATATCCGCAATAATGTTGAATTATATCTACAAATTTTAACAAATTTCCAAAATCTTAAAACGACAATTCATCATTATTGTAAAATTCGGTCAAATTCAAGTACATAAACATGTCGATATATATTAGAGCGAGATATTTTTTTCTGAATGTTTTACTTGTATGATCGTAATTTTAATGACTTGAGTGAAGTTTAAGAATAAGTTCGGGTGAGTGGGTTAATGTGATACATATATTTGCAGAGAACAAGAGCGCTGCGCCTAGCAGGTATTGACAGGTTTGACTTTGTTTTACGTATAAAAACTAAGCATCACGCTGTAAACAAGACGCAATAATTATTTCAGTTTTACGAAATCCGTTTAAATGTACAAGTATCATAATTTTAGTATAGTGTTTTTTGATAATTAAAAAAATCAATTATTATTTTAAGTGACATTTTCTTCCACAAAGTTTTGAAGTTTTCTGAATTTTCTTTTTTAAATGATAATGAGTAGTTATCGAAAAAATTTCAAAAATATCTAATTTTATGACAACTGTGACAAGCTCAAGAATATTTGTAAGTGATGATCAGCAAGCAAGTTCATCTGCCTTAAGTATTTTGATAAAATTGTTAGTAATTTCTCTCTTTATATATAACCCTGAAAAAAAAAGATTAAAAATCATTTCTCTTATATTAAAACTTCCATAAGAGCTAAATATTTGAAATATTGGTAGATTCTTAAAAAAAAAAATATTTTTGTCTAATCAGGTAAAGTTTTAATTTTAATTGAGAAAATGTCAGTTGTTAAAAAATATTTTTGTTTTTAGTTGGAATTAGACCAGACTTCACCACAAGATACCGAAGAAGTAAAATTAAATCCTTTTTTATTGCAAGATACAAATATAAACGAAACGCCAACAAATTTTCTTTCATTAGAAGATGCGGAAAAAAGACAATTAAGCAAAGACAATTTCAATAGAGTGGTGATTGTTTTCTACAAAATTTGAATGAAGAAACGGCCTACCACTAAATAATGTAACGGATTTGATAAATTCAAGATATGTTTATAATGATAAAACGAGGTATTGTTCTAGAAGTTTATTCCATTATACTCTAAAAAACGCAGACATTCAACATCGTGACTGGTCAATCTATTCAGAAAGTAAAGGAACGGTGTTTTGTGCTCTATGTTTCCTATTTGCTAGAAGTGGTGAAGTAAATGTTTTTACAAGTGAAGGATTTTGAGATTGGAAAAATTCTAGCTTATGAAAATTCTGATTTTCAAAAAACTAACATTAGCAATTTCAAAGCTCGAGCTGTCGTTCAAGGCCGCGTTGATCATTTAATGAAACAGCTCGATGAACAAACTTTATACCGGAAAAAAGTTTTGTATCGAATAATTGCGATTATTAAATCTCCAGCAATAAGGGCGTTGCCATTTAGAGGACATTCAGAACGAATTAGGAATTTTTTAAGTTCAATCGAGATTCTTCTTGAATTTGATCCGTTTTTTATCAGATATTTAAAACTATATACGCACCCTGACAGTCGAAATACTTCGCATTTATCTAAAACAATCATATTGCTCAACTTCCGATAAGTATTAGATACGTACGTGACAATGGTGATATTGTCGAAACATTTCTAGAATTGATCCCAAACTAAAGATATAGAAGATGCTTTGTCAAAAATCTCAATTCTGAAATTTAGTGGGAACTTGTGCAGCTGAATCTGTAACCGAAGCAGTTGAATTTCTTCCACTTCTCAAAAACTTTAATTTTTTACCATTTCAACACACCGCTGGCAGATCTTATTATAGCATACAAGTTTAAGTTTAAGTTTAAGACTTAAAAGCCTTTCTCAAATTCATTGGTCTGCTCGACATGATGCATTACGCATTAGAAAAAGAGTGGGCTTGAATAATTTTCGCGCTGGAATTTATTGCTGAAAACAAAGATGAAAAACCCACTACGCTATCTGAAACTAGGAGGCAGCATCAAAACTTACAACATCTAGAAACGGTAATTCTAGTCATTGTTTGGAATGCCATTTTGGATCGTTCTAATGCTGTGATACAAATGTATACAATATATACAATATATAGTTTTTTGGCACTATTTTTAGAAGACATGAGAGATAAACAATTCTGCGAATATGAAGAAACAGCCAAAGCACTATTTGGAGTTCAAAATTATTATCATTATGATATCTGTCGTAAAAGAACCCGGTAACTTCAGTCAGCTGAGTCACGGAAGAATAAAAGAAAATATGGAGAAGCTTATCATAAGCTTTACGAAAGTTTGAACTTTTTTGAAAATTTGTCTGAATTGAAAATTCGTGCAGATTAATTAGTTACTAAATATCCTGATGTTTTGGAACAAAATTTAGGGAATGAATGTATTCATTTAGACTATCAGGTTACAGATTTGCTATTAAGCACAAACGATGTAGGGTCCGCGCGAATATGCAGTGTGTTACATTATCGGAACCTTCGAGATGCTTATGGACTACGTATTTTTTGACTATTCCCGCTACAAATTGTTTAGGAAAAAGATCTTTTTTCACCATGAAAAGGGTATAAACGCATTTACGTGCAAGTATGGGCCAAGGAAGACTTAATACTTTAGCCCTACTGTCTATTGAAGCCAAACTAGTTCAAGAAATTGATGACGACGATGTTTTTGCACGGAATAAAGCTAGAAAGAAGATATTTATTATATTATTATTTATTTTGTTAATACGACAAGGAGGCTAAATCCGCCGCTGTATGAAAGGGGATAGCACCCCTAAGGGGAAAATATTTCCCGTGCAAAACAAAGTTACAATTATAAAATTTCGAGGTACGTACAAATTGTAATAATTTCTCAAAAAAATAAAAATGAAACGCAAATTTTACAAAAAGAGAAATCACTGATCAGCTGTTTTCGTAGGCATTTGTCCAAATAACTTAAAAATATATCAATGAGGAGGACTTTATACATGTACAAAAACCATCAATATACGACATGTATAGATATTCTGCAAAACTGACCTATTTACCGGGCATTATGTAAAATCACTATTTTGGGTAATCTCCAAATTAACCACGCGGTTTTAGGCAATCTGCGAAATGTCTGATGCGTTAGTCACTCTGAGAATTAAAGGTTTTTATTTTCCACATTCACTACACTAAACATTGTGCCCATTGCCTAATTCTGTCGAAGTTTATATTATAATAATGGCGAGCGGAAAGAAATATTTTTGGAGAAGCTAAATACATTATGCGGTAATAGGAACAATGTGTTTCTATAGGTTGACGAAAGAAACAACAACAAATACTAGAAGGCGTTAAATGTTTGACTGTAATCCACTGTTGCCAAGTTGTATCCTGACCTGTCTTCTATCATTATATCAATTTAACAGTAACAGAAACTAACCAAATAATTCTGAGTAAAACGAAGCGTTTATTGGATTAGTTTCTCTTATTCTTTGTTGATGATAAGTGCAGTACTACCGAACAAAAAAGCGGTATGTACAATTTTAGTTAGGTTTATATTTACGTCTGTGTTATATTATTTGTGAATTTATATTTATTTGTTTAGTGGCGGTAACATATACACAGCATGTATAATCTTTGGGGATTTGAATTTTTTAATTTGTTAATTTCCAAAGCTTCAAGTAAATTTAATTTATATACTTTACCATCAAAATGTAAAACGTGAAAATCTTAATTGAAACTACAATTACTACAATTACATTCGCTTAAATGAATTGCATAGTTGGAATCAATTTTTTCATTCATTAATGAATTATGATGGATTTCTATTCGTTTACTAGAACATCTTCCTGTTTGATCCATATACGTTTTGGGACAATCATTACAAGAAACTTTATATATCCTCGATCTTTTGATTTATTTGTTGGACTTTTATTTTTAATTAATTTTCCTAACGGATCGAAATTTTTGTTTAAATGTAAGTGTAAAAAAGTCTTTTTATTTATCATCAGATTGTCTAGTCAATGTGAAAACTTTTAATCCTCAGATTTACTAACATTTTTTAAGTTGCCTAAAACAGCGTAGTAAATCTTGTGCATTGCCTGAACATATACAATCGATCGTGTTAGATGTTGAATGGAATTATTAAGATGTGACTTCCGAAATAAAATTATCTTTTCCATTATTTTTTGCACTTTCAGACAAAAAGTTTAACGAAGGCCGTCGTGAAAATCAGTGTATTAATTAATTTATAGAGACACAAATTGCCTTTATTGGTCGCCTAAAAATATTTTATCACATATTCGTCCATTTAATAGAAAAATACTCACTATAACAACCACAATCCTAAAATTTTTAAATTACTTATTTATGTGTTTGGTGCAAAAAGCTTATAGGATTTATTTTCTCTTTTGTCCTCCGTTGGTTACTTTTTTATTTGGACTATTTTCATTGCTGCAAACTCGAGTGTTGCTCACGCAAATCGCCATGTCATTATAATAATTGCAAATTTGATTGCTTGATTGATTGAAGTTGTGGCGTTTATTTATTTGACAAAGCATTTTTCTTTCCAATCAATTAAAAATAGATGATAGTTTTAACTTAAATAACGATCACATGAAAGTTTTATTCAAAAAGCAAGCAATAGCTTATAACAAGGTATCGGAACACGTTTGATTAGAATAGATGATTGTGTGAAAAAGAGCTTACTACAAACCAACCTGAATTTCATTCAAAGTTTTTAATAAAATAAAAATCTTTAATATGTAATAAATTACTTGCGCAATATTAAGTCATAGCTGGAAAAGGTAAAATGAAGACCATTTTAATAATTAAATTAAATGAGGAAAAAAATATATCGTAACGTTGCATTTACTCTTGGAGTATTTGTCTATATTATTTATTCATTACGATAATAATGCTATTATACTGTACACAGACACGCCATAGAGGTGGCCATTAAGGGGAACAATCAATGTACTATGTACAATATTTGAAAATAAGAGAGGTGTTTCCAAAGATAGGGGTAATTTTTTGTTAAATTTAAATTTATCTTAAATTGATAACATTAACTAATTCATTACCTAACTTACTTCTTGGCTGTAAAAATGCAAATAAGTTTTTGGTCATGTAATAATTGTCGATAAACAAAAAAGTTCAATACCTTCGATATTTAAATTTGATATTTTTATTCAAAATTCAAAAATACCTGATGTGTTAACAACGGAAATTTGTCACTTTTATCTAAAAGTGTGAAATATTTATTATTAGTGGCTGTGGTACACGCCATAGTTTTCGTGCCACTTGTTTTTGCGTGATATATGTCAATTTTCAAATGTTAATTTTTATTTTATTTATCAGACAAGCGGGTCTTACATACTGAATTAAATCCAAACCGTATGTAAGACAAAGTATGTTATGTATAGTTATAGTTATGTATGTATATGTTTATTATCTCAAAACTTGTAAATAATATAAAAAAAAAAACAGAAGTTGTCTGGATTCATCTAGAATCTATTTTTTATATATAAAACGCAAATAGGTAGACTACTTTTTAATTTTATGTTTTATTTAGAAATTTTTCTCTCATGCAATTTTTTTATAAACCTTACAGTTTTTAAATAAAAATAAAACGTAAAGCGTTGCATATCGAAAGAAACATATTTTAGAAAAATAATTCATTAATAAACATTTCTGAAACTAATTCATGCGTAATATCTTCTAATGAACCAGTCTATCAAAATTTACCACAAATTTTACATTTTTCTTTAAATTTAGTTAAAGAAAAAAAATATATGCAGAAAGCGTATTTTTACAATACAATATCGTTGTATTTTTGTTTTTAAGTAAAAAAATAAAAACATTCTTTGTCCCCCATATATATAATAAATTCTGAGCCAGTTCATTTATTTTACTAGAGGGACCTATATATGTGTTTACTCGAACGTGCTGTATGCTTGTCAAAAATTCTACTTGTGGACTTGGAAACGGAAAATCTCCACAATCATCTGCATACGCTAAAATGGAAATTAAGCTTTACAAATGGTTCCTCAAACAACCGTTTCTAGTGGCGTGCTTTCATTATTGCAACGGCCAAGAAACCTCGTGTACTGAAGAGTTTCACTTCAAGATTTATTGATTCAAAAAATGCTTGAATGACATTTTTAAGGGCTGGTTCCACAATAAAAGTGTGTGCCAAATAGCAACAAACACGGTAATGACATCTTGCAGTACAGTTTGACAATCTCAGATTAAAGAATTTTTGTAAGACAAATTTACCTCAGCTCTAATTCTAATAGATAATGTCCTCAGTCACCTAAGCGACGAACAGTTCAAAACTTACTAAAAAAAATTACCGCAGTCTGTAGTGGAGAAAAATCGCAAAAATATTTTTGAAGCAATGAAAGATAGAGGGAAAGGTGGTAATGTGGCCCCTGCAAATATATTGGCCGCCTTCAATATTTTAATGTTGGAACCCACCAGAGCCTGTCACGTTCGATTGTAATTCGAAACAGTTGAAACTCGTTACCGGTAAAACTTTAAACTACTGTGATTTTAATTCGGTAATTTTCTATAAATAGAGAGTTTTGGCTATTGTGTTCGGATATTGAATACGTTGAACTGTTCTTCTACAGGAATTAAAAGGTAAACACAAAATTAGATTTGTAATAATTATTTTGGGTACGTTTGTTTAAATATTCTCAATAGTTGCAATTTGCCCCCGTCATATTGGTTGTATTGTGGTCCCGGGGGCCACATTACATGTAAGAGTGATTCATAATTTTCATATTTTTATTTTTTGCTTTCAGAAGCCTAGACAAAGTGTGCTCTCTCCTCCTGCGAGGAAGAAACAAAAAAATGGGATCCTGAACAAATGAAATCAGCAATTAATGCAGTAAGGCAGAAGGTCATGGGATATAAAAAGGCTGTAAAAATGTATTCTGTGCCTAAATCTACACTGAAACGGTTAGTAAAGGACCCTCAAGAATCTTCAGAGTTGCTTGTACATAAACCACTAGGAAGGAAACCTGTACTTCTAGCTGAGCTGGAAAAAAAGTTAGTGGACTATATCTTGTTTATGGAGTCCAGGTACTATGGGCTTACTACAATGGATGTCATTCATTCAAAAATGGCATTCTTAATACATTTAAGAATGAAGTAGCAAGGCGTGCTTGGTTAGATCACTTTAAACCGACATAAAGACACTTTCTCTTTACGCAAACCAATGGGGACATCATATGCTCGTACTCAAGGCCTCAGTCAAGCAATCAAAGAATTTTTTGATATTTTGCAAGCCGAAATGAGCAAAACTAATTATCCTGCTGACAGGATTTTTAAATGTTGACGAAACTGGATTGACAATTGCGTAGTCAAAAATACCACAGGTGTTAGATAAAAAAGGCAAGAAGCAGATAGGTGCCTGAACTGCTGCAGAACGAGGGTCACTATGTACTTTTGTTTGCTGCATGAGCGCATCGGGTATATTTGTGCCACCTATGATGATTTTCCCCAGGAAAAACTTTACGGACATTTTGATAAAGGGAGTGCCATCCGGTTCACTTGGCCAAGTTCATCATCTGGTTGGATACAATCCAATTTGTTCACTGAATCGTTTAAGCATTTTATTGATAAAACAAACTCCAGAGTCGAATCTCCGACATTACTCATCTTTGTCGGCCATTACAGTCACACACGCAACATAGAAATAATAGATCTAGCCCCCGAAAATCATGTCACGATTATCAGCCTCATATAACGCACGAGCTCCAGCCTCTGGACAAGACTTTTATGGGTGCCCTAAAAAATCACTAAACTGAGGAAATTCGCAAGTTCCTTTTGCACTCTGACAGAATGCTACAACCTTACGATATCGTTGAGCTTTTGGCAGAGCATATGCTAAGAGCACTACCGCACTATCGCAGTAAATGGTTTTCGTGCCACAGTCATTTATCCATTTAATCCTCAAGTTTTTACAAAAGTCGATTATTTAACGGAAGGATCTAACAATAATCAAACATCTCCTACTCCTGTTGCCGGCCAGAGCGCCCTAGGAGAGAGTGTAGAGCCACAAGCACTGGAGAATAGTTTGGTCCACGAGAAGACATTCAGCCAATTTCTACGACTAATCGTGGAAGAAAGGCTACAACAGCAAAAGTGATCACGTCATCACCATACAGAAATCAAATAACCGAATGCGCTTAGCCAAAATCGTGAACGTGGACGTGGAAGAGGCCGTGGACGCGGACGTGGACACGGTACATCCAGCAGTGGCTCTGAAAGTGACGAAGACGCGGGGAATAACGGTTATGTCGAGTCGTTTACAAACGTGGTCCCTGAAAATGCGAACGTGCCGTGTATGTTTTGCGAAACCATTTATTGCAATGACAGACATGGAGAGCCATGGGTACAGTGTCAAAGTTGCAATTTATGGGCTCATGTAGCCTGTGGAGGTTCTGAAGGTGACTATTATATTTGTGATTTTTGTCGTTAATTCTTAATTGTGCAATACATTTAATGTGACCCCCCAGGGAGTCACTTGATCTCAAGATATCAAATTTGAATAACTTAAGAATGAATAATATTTTTGCTATCTTGTACGCGTTTCACTTATTTCATAGTCAGACATGTATAGACAAATAAATAACAAGTCCTATAATGTATCTTTGAGGTTTGTCACTCCCAAATTTTTTAAATAAAACTTAAAGGCTTCAAGTGCATAAATCCACAATATATTCCACGACAAGACAGATAGTACAATGGTGATTAAGGAGTATTTTTTGTCTGTTTTGTACAAAACATGCTTTTTTTTCAATAATAGGGAATTTATTGCATTTTATTGCCAAATAAAGAACCTGTCCGCCCTGTGCGACACGGCACGTGTTTATTAGTTTATTACATTCGAATGGGGCTGACTCAGGTACTTCAATGCTTTATATATGAAAAGATTTATACGGATAAACACACAAGTTTACTTTTACCTCAAAGAGCTTAGTTGTAATTATATTCTTTTAAAGTGTTTGAGTTTGAGTGTTGACTTTTAGGTTTCAGATGCTACGAAATTATTCTTGAAAAACAACTGGCCCATTATACACTAATATCTATATCAAGTCCTTTTACTAATGATCGTCCAGGAAATGATTGTCTACTATGCTTTTATAAAGCGCCATCAAGATGTGTTATCAGTAAAAAAAACCTGAGCATCTGCCAAAAAGCAGGAAAGATGTGAGGCAACCCGATATCATTTATAGTTTTTATGAAGATCTCCAAAATACTCTGGAACGATTCCCACTTGAAGCTTTATGATGGCGATGAATCGGGCTTCAAGTCGGGCCCAGTCGTTTAAAAGCACTCGGACAAAAAGGCAAACCATTAGTAAGAGTCTGTGGAGGATCTGGACGACAATCAACTATAGTTTTAGCATGTGTTGGAGCAGATTGTTCTTTTTTGCCACCACTTATAGTGTTTAAGGGTGATGGAATTCAAGCTTACCCTGGAACTGTTTACTCGATATCTAAAAATGGATGGACGGAGGAGCCACAATTTGTTACATGGTTCACTGAAGCATTCATACCACATATCAAAAACATTAGAGAAGAGAAATGTCTACCAAACCAAGAATGTGTTCTATTTTATGATGGGCATGCAAAGCATATCAGCGTTAGAATAATCGAAGCAGCTATCTCTAACCATATTACACTGATTAAACTTCCCAGCCATCTTACCGACATGTTACAGCCTTTGGACAAGTGTGTTTTCGGTTCAATGAAAACATTTTGGGAGAAGTTAATAAACTTTGGCAAAAAGAATGCCGGCAAGAGAACTGGGCGGTTGTCAAAATGTGAATTCGTTCAAATGTTAGACAAAGCTTTTTCCAGTGAACAAAGATAAATTTCCTACAAGCGCTTTTAAAGATCAAGAGCTTCAACAATATTTGCAAAAGAAACGAAATATATACAAAAACACAGGACAATCTCCTTTAACAAGCAACATTCCGAGTCCTTCAAACAAATCTGAAGTTGATATAAATCAATCAGTTGGAGAATTAGCTTCACAAGAACAAACGCTGCTTTCTATAAATGAAAACACACCACCAATAACAAAGAATATACCAATAAGTTCGCTAAACACATCTAAATCTGATTCAATTGTATCTGAAAGAGTAGCACTGCAAAGAGATGAGACATGTGAACATTTTCCCAGTGAAACATGCACATCCAGGGAAAAACATGCCAGATACAATTTTATCACAGGATATATCAGAAAATCGTTGACAAGAGTCTAATAATAACCAAAACTTAACTTTAAAAAAACAGTTTTTTTCTTTCTCCCGCGAAAAAAGAAAATGTACCTACAATACAGCAGTTCGATCCTGAGTCAAAAAAAGGTTGTAGTTCAAGATTAAAGCTCTTAGTTATGGCGACATTTTGACCACAGAACAAGTGTTAAACAGATTAAAAGCAGCACAAGAAAAAAATCACAGGAGACTACAATTCAGACTAAAAAAAATACAAATGAAGGAACAGTAAAAAAAGCAGGGCTCTAAAAATAACGAAGAAGATAGTGACTACTCTTTATGTCTTAGTACTGACACTGAATTTTCTCCAGAAGAGGAAATGGGCGAAGATGAGTTCATAGGCATAAATCCGACGCCTCTCTTCGATTTACGTTTACAATTGCCCTATATTGTATCTCCATAATTCCTCTAGTTTTTTATATAGATGTTTAAATGTAAACAATGATATATTTTTCAAAATATATTTTTTTTATTACAAAAATTTCTTTATAACTTTTTCGGCCAAAGTATCCAAAAACAGATGATCCAGTTACCAATTTTTTTTGGTCTTTCTTTTAAAAATGATTGTTTTTATACAATTTGGATATATTTAAAAAGCAAAAAAAAAAATTGTTCAAAATCGTTTACAATGACCCCACTTGACCCTATATAGTAAAAAAAGAAAGATTTATATACAATTTTAAAGTATTTACAACATTTTTCTACCCAATTATTTTCTAGTAAAAGAAAGATATATGTTTTTTGGTATAAGGAGGTCGCTGCTTTTATAAGTTACATTTTCAAGCAAATTATTGGTAACTAATGTTAACAATTTTAATGTATTAAAAGTTTTCTACTCAAGTATTTTATTTGGTAGAAGTAGGGCAGGTTTTTTAAAATTCGTTTTTTTAACTAATTATTGCTTTTTGTGGATTTTACAGATTCATGCAGATAAAAAATTTATTGTGGATCAGCACGTCAATTCAGTAAAACACCAGCTCAAACAACGGTAATTGCAATGAGAAGAACCCTCCCAGCAAACAACATTGTCTTGAAGAAAACTCAAAACAGCGAACAAGACCAGTTCAATGAGGATTTATATTTGTCATTCATTGGAGCCAATATATAACTTAAAAAACTGGGCAACCACAATTTAAGTTCGTTTTTGACAAAATATCAAAACAAATTATTCTTTTGTACCTATAGCACTCACGAAATTGGAGGCTGCCTGTGTTTCTTGAGGGAGATTGCAAATAATGATTGGCTCCTAGAGAAACATAATATTTTTGAAAGAGGGAAGAAATGGTATTGGTGCCTTTTAACTAGAATGATAGACATGGCTGTTGTGGTTGCGTACTTTACGATATCGTGCACAAAGGGCAAAAGAGGATGTCAATCAAGAATTTTGTATGGTAATTACCTATCCCTATTTGAAAACTAACCATGGCTGGAAAATTGTGTGTGGACGATACATAGTACATCCGAAACAAATGGGTCAGATGACAAAGTTTGACGGATGAAACCACTCTACTGGCAAAAAGGAAAATCAAAGATTTCAAATCATGAACTACACAGGTAAACCAAGAACATTTTGCCAAAAATGCAACAATAAGCTTTGAATGCTTGGTGGTTTTAACGATTTTCACAAAAAAAAAGTATCTCGTGACATTTAATAAATCAGAATAAACTTATAAAATTTCAAAAATAATATTTTTCTACGTTTAGTGATCCAAAATACGGTGGGGATCTCTAAAAAAAATAGTTAACTTTCGAAACCAAATGTTGTGAGTTAATGGTTAAACCGCGCCGCTCGGTGTCGTGTTGGTTATATCAATCAACATACATTTCATTGAAGCAAGTCGGGCAATTTTTACTTTAATACAATTTTTTTTCTTTTGGTTTTTTTAGTGTGTTACGTATCGGCAGTCACATTCAAAGAGTTGTTCTCAAAGAGTAAGGGTTTTCTTTTGGGATGTACCATTATGTACAAATGGAATGTCGCAATAAAACCATACCTTAAAGGGAAGGAGAATTTACAGGTTCACTTGCGTGCATAGAAATCGGCCCCACTGTAAACTTTCGACTTTACCTACATTTTTTAAGAAACTATTCCGCAGATAAAAAATTGTCTGTTTAAAAGACAATTTAAAATGCTTAATATGGGCTTAAATTTGTCAAGAGTGCTGATCTTTTATATGCGTAGCAACAGGTAAATAAATGAAATGTGCTTATGTGGCAGTTATAACGCGAGCAACAAACTTATCGAAGACTTTGCAACCGAAATGATCAATATTCGTTTTTAATACTTTGGATAGTGTTTAGTGTATTAGCTAGATGCAGACTCCATCGCAAAAAGCTGTTCAAGTTATTGCTTTAATCCAAAAAGTATTTAGCCAGCGAGCTCTTGCTCGACAAACTGGATTTGACACGCGCAGTAGTTCGAAGAGTGTGGCAACGTTATGAGGAAACGGGATTCTGTGATTTCAGGAGAGGGATTTGCAAAATGCTTGATTGTTGCAGTAGAGGAAAAGTGGTTTAAAATTTCACAAGAAACAATGGTGAACTTAATTAGATCTATCCCTGATCGTGTAAAATCATACCATCATTAAAAAATAAGTGTTAAGTTGTTATATAATTGTCAATAAGCCTATGCAGTTATTTTAATCAATTTAAACTAGTATTAAAGCATATTGAATTGCCATTCAAACAGCATTTTTTTTTCTCTGATGACTTGTTTCTGAAAAAAATGTAATTGAAGTGGGCCAATTTTTATGCACGCAAGTGTAGATGGTTCTTCGAAACTCAGCGGACATCCCAACATATGAAATAAACCTTTTCTACAATCATTTTTGATAAAATCTCCATTTAGCGAGGAATTTGATTATATGCAATGACTTGGTCACGAGTCTACTGTATCCAAACAGCTCTAATTTTTGTTAATATTTTTTACAGGTTCTAAGATAGGAAGGGATCGCTCCATAATAAACCCTAACAAGAACCAAACAAAAAATCCACAACTTAGCAAACCAACGACAGGTTAAATCCGAACATAATTTCCGCAAAAATGTAATCAACAATAAATAATAAAATATACTGCGAAGATATTTAAAAACCACATAACACGCCCCCTTGATCTACGAGGGAGAAGATCGGCTTACTAACGAATCAGTCAGACTTAAGGGTGGACTACACGATATAAAACTAAATCACAATCTCGCGCGTCCTTCAGTGATTCGAAATGAAGGTTTCGAGCACGCGAGGCACTGCCCCCCGATACGGGATCCTGAACTGTTTGATCACTTTCGCGGCTGCGCATTTCAGACTGGTGTATCGAGTTACGTCGACGAGTTCATGAGCCTGCTTCGTGTGTAGCAACGTCAAGAAGGTATCCCCGTTCGAGTTTATCGCGTCCAGGTGGGCGCCGCCCTGAAGTAAGTTTTGGGCGACCGCCGCCGGACACGGGTGCGCCTGCGCGGCGAGGTGGAGGGGGGTGTTTCCCTCATCGTCTCTCGCGTTGGGGTCGGCGCCGACGCGTATGAGCACGGCTGCGAGGTGAGGTGACGGAAACGAACACGCCGAATACCTATAGATATACAGGATGAGTTTTTTTACATTTAGTACGGGGATCTCGGAAACTCTAGCGGATACGAAAAAGTCTAAAGGGGAAAAGAATTGATGTTTTGTAAGCTTTACTCAAAACCAATTCATAAGATTTCATAGCTGTCAATAAATATTTAAAAAAAAAAAGAAAAAACTGTTAACTGCATAAATATTAATTGTCGCAGAAAATAATAAATACAAAAGTTTAAAGAAATTTTATTCCTAATAAAATGACACACTTGACTATTTAATGGAAACCTGTAGAGTCCAATTATTTAGTAAAGTGTGCAGTGACGTAAGCAGCACAGTGAACCTATTTCGACCCGAACCACGTGGCTTGGCGCAAAGCTGTTTTCTCCCGCTCAGTGTCGGCTTCAATTTATGAACTATCTATACACTGCGTAAAAGTGTTCATATTGTGATAGTGTTTTTAAAAGTTTAATTTAAAAAAAAAAAAATATGTTGAACGTTATTTGTTTTATTCTAGTCATTGAAAATATATTTTTATCTGAAGCAGATAGTCCATTTATCTAAGATGTCCCCTAAAAAAATAGACAAGAAAGGCTTAATAATTGATAGTCAACAGCGAGAAATCGTTAACAATGTTTCGCAATTTATAATTTTTTTATAAGGCTGCTACCAATGTATCTAAATCTTTGGGATTCAAAAAGAGCCAAGAAAAGTGAATGTTGACTATGTAGGAGATGGTGCAAGCACTTGTCTTTGCACGCCCAGGAAAAAGAGGCCAAGTATTTCAAGAAAATTGGGACATATTATTCCAGGACAAATGAAATCCATAAGCAAAATTAGTAAGAATTTAAAATTAAATAACTAATTACTGTACCTACTTTTCTTTTCAGTTATTAGTCAGAAAATACTATACAAAGGGATTTTTATAACATAAGCGTTAGTTCTTAAGCACTCTGTTGGGCCAAATGGGCTTCAAGTAAGGCATTTACTAATATGTTTGTTGTTTTGTGATGTAATTTAAACAAATAAACAGAAATAAAAGTACCATGAGTTTGCAGGTTGTAAAAAACAGAAGATAAACGTACAATTTTGATGGAAAACAATGATATCCACCTAAAAAGAATTCAATATTTACAAGAAATCACGAAACTTGGATTCGAAGGGTGGAATGTTAAATATACGGATGAAACATATATACATAGTAGCCACACACCAGATAAGGGCTGGTTCGATGACTCTTCTAAAGATATTCAAAGACCAGTGGGACCAAGGGAAGACTTATAATAGTCCATGCTGGTCAAGAAAATGGATTTTGTTGATTTTTCGATGCGGTAATTAAAATATATCTTTTTAAAAAAATATTTAACAGAAAACAGTAAAAAAAAATCCAACACAAACGAAAAATTATTCAAATAGTTATGTGCCCCAAACTGCAGACGAAGCCCAAAGCTAAGCGAAGATAACGTCTCGCTGACACCGCATCGAAAGCCCTATTTATTCGATTGTCACATTATAAAATTGCTCTTAACTATTCGAGCCTTTGTATCCGCTAATCCGAATAAAACTTTATTTTGCTTTTTGTATAAATAAATGTTTTTAAAAACGCTCTCATCATTTAAGTAAATCGCAAAGCATAAAAATGTATTTTCTTTCAAGTAATTCAAAGATCTTTTCATCTCCTTTTTAAAATGTTATTTACGTTGATGTGGCCAATACCTGGATAACAATAAAGCCATAAAATGCTAACGAGTAATAAGGGGTTATTACGGCACCAATTTTTCATAGGTATTTTTGAAAGCAAGTAATAGATTATGTCTGTAAAAAAAGCCTTTTGATTTATTGATTAAGCACAAAAAAGTGAATAGGTATTTAGGGTGATTCAAGAATAAATATTTTATGCGTACGTAGGTACGTACGTGCCGCTAAAAAAGAACGTCACTAGTGCAATCAAAAAAATTGAATTAGTTGAGTGGCTGAGGGAAAGAAATATATCAGCGACTGAAAAAATAACAAAACCTGAAATTTATGAGATAATTCAAGAAAATAATTTAAGAGTTCCCATCAAGTACAAACGGTATGAGTTATTACAAAAACTCGGACAAGTTCTGTGCTTGCCACCTTACCATCCCATAGAGAAAATATGGGCCTTGGTTAAAAATAGGGTGTCAAGTAGAAATGTCACATTTAAGTTGCTAGATGCACGGCAAAAATGTTCAGAAGTTACTTTTGAGGGATGGGATAAAATTTGCAAACATGTGAAAAATCACCAAGAAGAACTCATACAAAGAGATCATGTATTTGACGATACGATTGATGGTATGCAGTTCACAGTAAATACTGCATCCTGCGAAAAAAGTAACCTCGAATCTGACAGTACCGGCAGCAGTATATAGCTGTTCTATCAAATTCAGGATAAAAATACATTCGAATTTTTTTGTCCTGTAACGACTTTGTGAAAAAATATCTTTTATTTACATTATTTATTATTAAATTACTTACTAGACAAATAAAATTGGATTTTATTGCCAACGAAAAAATTACTACTGCCTACAACAATAAATTTCTTAATTTGATGCTTGTGTTTTTATTTGCCTTTCAACTTCTTTAAAAGCAGACCTTTTTAGTACCCTAGTGTTTTGAGGCATTATTTATATGCGTGTAAAAGAAAAAAAAATCAGTACAAACATGGAATAATTAGATTATCTTACTAACGTCTTAATGTATTTATTCGCTTACGCCATTGGTAGAGCAAATTACCACTGCTTGAGACAGACAGAAAAGAGACAATCACGTTCGCGCAGAAAACAATCATGTCAACGTATTCTTTACTAAATAATCGGACCTCTAATGAATATTGCAAAAACACTCTCACCGCGGTTTTCGGAAACGTTTTGTTACTTTTGTTTTTGAAGTAACATTTTGAGTTTGAAATATCGGTACTGCTTAATTCGTTGCGTATACCACTAACGCTTCGAACTTCAGCCAGCCAGCTTTACATTGATAATAATTCATAATTCAGTTGTTGACTAAGCATACTGCCTTTGCACTGGGAAGGGCTTCATCAGGGTCATTTAACAGTTCAGCCAGTAATGTTTGACCATTTTTGTTTTGAATTAGTGTTTAATTATTTAAATGAAATGTTTAAGCTGTAATCTGTTATACAAAAAAGTAAAACAATTAGGAAAATAAATGCTGCCATAGTCCTTATCCAGGCTAGAAGATAAAAATAAAGCGGGCTTAAAATTTGTTAAACAAGAGTTTAAAACGGACACTGACCAAGGTTTAGATAGAAAAAATTAACACAAGTTTTAGAGATGTCATAAGTGCAGAACATAAACTGTAGGTAACTTTAAGATTTCTAGCTACATAGGAAACTTAACGAAGCATAATGTACAGCTTTCAAATATCAGAGGCAACTATTTCCTTATTTGTACCAAAAGCTTATAGAGTAATTAAACGGTGCATTTTTAAAATAAGTTACCAAGTTATTTTACTATTTCAGGATTCTAATTATAATTATATTATTCGGGGGTTGGTAATTATTACATTTATATTAAAAAAAATAATAACTGTTCCAGTCTTTTACAAACAAATTCAGTTACTTGCTTTCTGTATTGTAAAAAATTAAAAGAAACCTAGTGCCCTGTTCAATAATTTTTATTGCACATCAGCAGAATGGCTTAATTAGCACAGGAAAATATTATCTAATATGGCCCTAGAAATTTGAAAAAAAAAAAATGTGTAACTCGGCCAAGAGAGAATAGCGAGAATTTAAATTTAAAACATATATTACAAAAATCACCATATATGAGTACCTCTCTGGTCCATATCCGTAAGAGCAAAGCAATAATATAGAGAATGTGTCATTTAAAAAAATGAAATCTTGGCATTTACAAATCACGAAAATTCATTAAACCCAAGCCTTGAAACTTCCACAGGCTATTGTAATACTATTTACAAAACTCCTGGATGCTTCCTGCATCAGTTCTTGTTGAATGGAATTTGCTGACGTCTCGACAATCAATCCTGCTGGCAACAGGATGATTGGCGAAACGTCAGCAAGTTCGATTCAACAATGAACGACGCAGGAGGAATCCAGAAGATTTGTAAATAGTCCTTTTATTCCTTTTTTAAATATTACCAGTTAGCATAATATCTATCTACGAGCTTTTGCTGATTTTTTAATAACAATCCTATAACCTTAAAGATTTCCTAAATTGTTCGGAAATCAAATACGTCGGTCTGATGAAAGTTACCTTTGTTCACCACTAAATCCAAAAACACAATAAAATATAGGGTGTCACGTTTAAACTTCCAAAGTCAATGTCGATACCGAAGAAGTGGGGCACCTTGTGCAAAAGTGAATAATTTAAAAATTCCCTTAAATATAAAGAACTTTTGTATTTAAAATTTCTTGATAACTATTGCAGGTTGCCTCGCAGAGAAATGGTTCGCTCACCTTCCCAGTAGCGCCATCTCCCGGCAACAAGCCAAATGCAAAACTCCCCGACCGAGCTTGCCTTTGATACCCAACTTGACCAGATCATAGAGGGTCTGGTGGATCTGCCTGTTGATGGTCGGCGTGCACGACTGATGTCCTAACCTTTTGGTCAACAGACCGCCGAGGTGCATCGTGATCACCATCACCCGCGTCAAGTAGGTCACGTCGCGGTCCTGATACGGTATTCGCTCCAGCATGCGACCGCCCAACTCGACCTCCCTAACCGCCTTCTTAAACACCCTGAGAATCTCCGATATATGGACCGAGGGTACGATCCGCCCTCGCGACGTGTTCTTTCCTTCCTCGCCCATCATGAACGAGAACAGTTCTGTGAAACTGAACAGACTGCTTTGGGTCATGGGACTGAGTCGTTCCAGCATGTTCTGTTGCATGTCCAAAGCGTAATTCCACAGCTCTATGCATCTGGGGAGATATATAGCAAAGAAAAATATAGAGTTACATTTTTATGAGGCACCCTGAAAACTCAACGTATTTTTCATAAGATCCGAGACTAAGCTAATGGCGTCAACAAATACTAAAGCAGGAACTAGGATTTGTTTTATCAAAAGGTTCAAGATTTGAATTAGAAAATTAACGAGTTAATTTTGAGTTTTAGCGCTGTAAACGACGGAGAACTCTATTTACAATTCTTTTGGATTCGTTCTGCGTCGGTTGTTAATGAAGAGTGATAGTTTCGTACTTAATTCACTTCGTTGAACCATTAAAAGTCATTACATTAGATCCAAATGATGTCCTGGTCAGTTTGGACTTACAGTTTCTAACGGTTCTGTTCCTGAAACTCTCAACGTTACTTCAGATACATATCCGAGAATCTAGAATCAAATCTTCTCATTTCAATTGAAAACTGCTGGTCTGAAACATTTTTCTTGTAACGATCAAATTTATTAACAAATATTAGGAGCAGCTATGATATAAATTTCACTACAACCGCCCAAAGAGAGAGAATGTGAATGAATGTCATTGTCAGAATATGATTGTTAAATGTTCGAATTTAGTTTAGTTTAATACGAATAATCATCTTGAGAATTTATGGGTAAATGGTAATCGAGAATAAATAATGGATTTCTGGGTATTTTGGTAACTCTATCTACATGTACGTTATATATTCCCGATAGCATGAGCTTAGAAACTTATGAATGCGTTTTTGAACAAATTGGTGTAATTGTGTAATTGAGATTGGTCAAAAAGAGAGGTTAACATTAATCAACAACAAGGTTTTTAACAACAGGAACATAATAAATGCTGCGCACCATAATACAGTCCCTAAATATATATTTGGATTTAATAATCAGCAATCATACGATTTGTCAGGAGAAGAGCGATCTCCCTCTGGTAGAATAAAATTTTCACTGTCGCACTATTAAAATTTATCAAAAAAATTTTGGGCCAAAAAAAAATTTAATTTCAAATATAATTTTAAAAAGTTGATTTCTTAAAGATTTACCATCTGTTTGGGGAAATGTGTTAGAATGAACTACACACTTTTCGCGATTACAACTCAAATTTTAAATTTCAAATCGAATGAAGCAGTCAAAAAGATTTTACCCAACCATGCTTCTCTAGATCTCTAGTATATGGGAATTGAAATGTAAAGAGTATTTTTGTAAAACATACAAAAAATTTATTTTGGTATTTTATTTACAAATCTTCTGCTAAGCCCATCATTCTGTTGACTTTTTCAGAGCTCAACTGAAACTGGTTTGCATTCTACTCTGTATTTGCTCGAGAGAGCATAGATATACATTTTTTCCACTGATTACGATGGTGAAAACAGAAAAACAAGTGAATGCAGGGTTTAGGAACAAATGAGAAAAATGTACTCTGTACTTAAATGGAACAAGTGTATATTTTTTACTCTAACTTTACTTTATTTTACTCTAACAGAAAAAAAAGTCATATGCAATATTAGCCCAAAATTGAAAATAACCGAACTATCAGAACATTTCTCTTTTAGACTAGATGACTATGGGTGGTTGCGAAATAAAACTCCATTTTTCTTTTATTGTTTTATTTGAGAGTAAGAAACATGGAAATAAGAAAATAGAAAAAAAAAGAAACCTAATTAATTTATGATTAACTATTAAAGTTATTTTAAGGGGTGTTTTCGTTCTTTAAATAATCTCAAAAGTATAAATCAAGTGGGGTTATATTTGGTGACCTAGGAGGCCAAGGAATAGGTCCATAAGTGCAATAATGATGATTTTTTGTATTATAAATTCTATAATTTGAAAATTTAAATTCGTCGGTCCACAAAATAAACCGAAAATTATTTGTGTTTTGCCGGGAAAAATTAACATACCAATGACAAAAAAGTCTTCTCTCTGCATCTTCGGCTGCTGCTGCACCTGAGCTGGTCGGAATTTATAAGGGCAAAATGTGTGTTTTTTTAAAATCCTTTGGACAGTATTAAAAGATGGATTAGAGTTTTAGACTGTCTCGAATAGAATTGTCGTGATATGCTTCAAAATATCCAAGGATACCAATTGGGACTTCGTCACTTATAACAAAAATTTTTCGTCTTCTTTTTGCAAAAACGGTTTCATTATTTCTAAAAATTCAGTAAAGGCACAGAAAAAAATGTTCATATGGTGCAGTGCGCTGTGGATATAGGTTTATTGCCCTTACCCCGACGATTTACTGCATACCAAACATGTCGCGCTTCATGTGTAAAAACTATTTTTGAATAAGTGATACACTAAAAATAATTTAAATAATAATTGATATAGCATAATTAACATATTAAAACTAATTTTTTAACAACTAGTTTTCTATTTGCCCGAGCTGTCATTATTTTGCACAGCCTTCTTTGAACAATTTTTTCTGCGCCTTTAGCGAATCTTTAGAAATAATGAAACCGTTTTTGCTAAAAGGAGACGAAAAAATTTTATAATAAATGAAGATGTGAAAATTCGTGTTATTATGATTGTTTCTTATGATCAAATAGAGCAATAAAAGGAAAATGGAGTTTTATTTCGCAACCACTCATAGCATCTAGTCTAAAAGAGGTATGTGCTGATAATTCGGTTATTTTCAATTTTTGGCCAATATTGCATAAGACTTTTTTTTCTATTAGAGTCAAGTTGCGAAAGTTAGAGTAAAAAATATACAGGGTGAGCACGTTTTCCTCATTTTTTTCTACACCCTATATACAATTGTTTCTCTGTTTTCACCTTCGTAAATCAGTTAAAAATGCTAGTAGTTTGCTAATTTAACCGACTTTGTATCTTTACTCATAACAAAGTTACCAATGATAAACGCTTAATTTAGATTAGCCGGTAAGCCTGTATACTGTTCGAGGGAGGCGGAGTTAAAGAAGGCCCATGAGTGTCGGATCACTGATTCTTGTACTGGTGAAAGGTAAATACCTGAGTCATGTTAAGATTGTATGGTTATTTAGATATTTTTATCCATTCTTTTCCAAGAATGCAAGAATTTTAGTTTGGTCGAATAAGATTTGAAGTCCGGTTTCATGATTATAATCGGCAACTGCTGACTGAGTTTATTTGTCCTAGCTTAAGGCTCATTCATGTTCGTTTAGCCGAGTTGATATTTCTTGTCATGTTTTTCCAATGTATCTTTGTCTCAAATCTTTGCCCCAAATGCATGGACTGCGTTGCATTGCAAACTTCTGTAGTATAGTATGCAACACGTTCGGTAAACGAGTCAGTCAAATGCCGCTTACCACACTTGTTGCATAATATATTATTACGATGACTGGTGATAATGGAGAACCAATAACTGTTCCTGAAATTTGTTTATAAATTTGACTGATACAAGAACAATGGGATTCAGACAAACATCTTTTAATTAAGATTACAAGATTTGATTCCGGATTCCCGGATTTTAATTTATCTAAAATTATGTTGAGTTTCAGGAATAGGAACTGTAGTAAAGAGGTACTAGACGTCAAAACTGTCCAGAATATCGCCTGCTTCTATTGTAATTTTGTTATTGTTAGTTTTCCCTGAAAAAGACTCCCTCAAACAGTATATGAGCAGGTACAGAATCCAACAAGCTGATTGGAGAAACGTCAGCAAGTTCGACTTATCAACAACTGAAGCAGGAGGAATCCAGTAGATTTGTAAATAGTATGTAACACTTACAATGCCACCTATTTAACTCTTGTCTCTCCAGCAAAATCAAAACGAACCAAAACTAACAGTCCTTTTTGAATTTTTTGCACTGTACCACCAAGCTTTAATTGCACGTGATCGCCTTACCCGACCTAACTGGTAGAGGCGAGCAATCAGTGTCACATAAGAACCAGTGTAAATTTGCAAGCGGTAAGTAAGTAAAAGTTACAAAGAACCTGTTAAACTTTCCAGCGTCAGCGTACACTGCTCCTCGATATCGAATGTAATAACTGGTGTCCGGATGTGCAGGTCCCAGGATCCTCTCGCGCATAATCAACGCCTGCATCCTCATCTCGTCCGGATCGGTCATTAAGTCATCCAACGCCAGAGGGTCCGATATTTCTACCACATAATCATATGCGGCCACTTTTTGCATTCGCTGTTTGGGTATCGCTGGACCGTCGCCGTGGTACCTTTTGGAAAAAATAAAATTATTTATTATTAATATCCGGGTGACTTATAAATACACATTTAGAATTACTCGGAGAATTGAAGTAGCGATTGGTTACTTCTTCAACCTATGGAAATTAGGAAAGCATTTAGATTTAGTTTCGTCACCTAACGACATATGGCACAAACCTAGCCGTTTGGTTAGTTAGAAATATGTTCTTTCGTTCGAGTTGAAATCTGTAATTTTTATAACTCATGACATACTGAGCAACCCTCAATAAGATGAACGGACCAAGTTGTACAGAATAGGGAAGAGTGGCAAAATTTGCGGTACGCCTATGTTTAGCAGTGGCTGGCTTATTGATAATAGTGATTATGATGTCTCGCAGAGGATTAGGGTTCCTGCAGAAACCGATAGTTACTACTAACGGATCATTTAAAATTCCAAATCGAGGGCGCAAGCGGAAGCGTTCTATTGTTAACGGGGCAACAAAAAAATAAGCGCATATTATTTCAGTTTTATGTTCGACACAAAAAATCTTCAATATAGTCTAAAATGTCTATCGGAGAAGTTTCAGTGTTCTGATGAACTGCAAAATATGCCTTAAAATTAAAAAATTAAATTTGAATAAAATTTGTACCTCTTGCATCAAATTTGAAAAAAAAACGATATGGTTGCACTTGTCTTGCTACTACTTACTTTTTATATGTAAGGAAATGGTTTTTAGCAATAATGTTTTTTTGCAATAAGGTATTTGTGGTTGGAAATAAGTATGGAACTTTTTATAATTGGTGTTCTAAATTATTTAGTCTTGATTCTACAGTGCATTCAGATTTTTAGTTTCAATGCTCAACGACAGATGACAGTACGAACGAAGTTAAGAGTTCTAAATAAAAAAAATCTTGAGTTTCCGTGTAAAAATAGTTTTTTTCAGAGAAAAAATTGTTAAATTATTTACAAAAATATGAATGTTGCGGTGTTGCGAGAAATGCTTTCATGTCGGGAGTAAATGGTATAACGGTAAAAAAACGTTTAATCGTTTAAACGTTCAATCATGGAAGAGTTGTTGTATAAAATCTTCGAATACGCATAAGCCGCAAAGTGTGTCGAATTTTATAAAATTTGAAAAACAAAGGAACTTCCTATTCGGAATGGCAAGCTGAAATACAACTTTATTTGAATCTACATTTTTAAATTCCGAAATACGGAAAAATAAAATAAACCAGCTCGAAGCAGTGCACAACGGCGCAACATGTGGGAATAAAGGAAAAAAAACCTTACCTTAATAAATAATCAACATATTAAGCTAACGTTGGTCTTAGTTAATTTAGAACGGAAAATTTGATTTTTGTTAAGATACAATTCAGACCCACACACATATTTTTTACAGGCAAGAAATATGACCAATGTTTCATAAAATCCTTGTACAACTAGAGTTAACACCGGTTTAGAACAAGTGGTGCAACAACCATTATTTCGAACTGCTTTTAAATAAGTATTTAGATGAACCTGCTCGGTCACAAACCGACGTTCTGCCAGTGTTCGAAAAATCGAAAAGTTGTCTTGATTCAAATTTTGATATATTGAACTAAGTTTGAAATAAAAAACATTTTTTTTGGGTTTCTTTATTTAAACGCGCTTTTTCCGCTAATTTTGTGTCAGTATTTCCTGCGTTTCGATAATGACACAAAATTGTAGAATTTTGATTTTCGAAAAATTGATCAAGATTGTTCACTTTTTTTCACTTAAAACTCCGCACGCCAATAAGTCCAAAACGAAAAGAAATATTTAATTTATGTAAAAAGTAGTCAAAGTGTGGGGTCAAGTAGATATTTCCTAAAGTTTAAAAAATTCGACGCCTGCAAAGAGCTGGGCGTCGCGACGCGTCGAAAAATTATTCGATTGCAGAGACTTTGGAAATACGCGCATACAAAAGTACATATTATTTAAAAACTTTTTTGTTATTTACTCAAACTTATTTACTTTATCCGTTTCTAAGTTATACCGATTTAAAGTAAACATTTCTTGATTAATAAAAAATGTGATTAACGCTTATTTTTACAAGTATCCCATGAATGTTAGTTACTATGGCAACCATTGTTATCGCAGTTGTTTTAAGTGCAATTACAAACGTAAGTTGTTATTGCTGTATCAAAAAATTGTCACATTTTGTCACAAGAAATATCCAAATTTGTTCGGTTTAAAAAAAACTAAGAATTATTATGTGAAAATGGTGCAATTTAGCAATGAGGGAAAAATAGACATGTTACTGGTGTTTGGAGAATGCAGATGCAATTGTAGAGAAGCAAAAAGAGTTTACGCACGGCGTTATCCGCATAGAAGAGTCCCCGATGCAAAAACCTTTTCAAGTTTATGTAAAAACTTAAGAGAATATGGCAGCTTCATAAAACCTAAAAGAGATAGGAACAGGACGGCTACAAATGATGAAAATACTGCTGCTGTAATTCAGCAGGTTGATAATAACCCCAAGATATCCCTATCAGAGATAAAAGAAAATACCGGTGTTATCATAAGTTCTTCGTGGAGAATTCTACATAGAAACTCTTTTCACCCGTACAAAAGTAAACTAGTTCATAAACTAAAACCAGGCGATTATGCTAGAAGAATGTATTTCTTAGCGACATTGTCCGATTTGTATAGCCAAGATGCAAATTTTCTCTCGAAAATTTTATGGAGCGACGAAAGTCGATTTCAAAGTAATGGAATCGTTAATAGACACAACTGTCGTTTTCGGTCCGAAAACCATCCTCCTTGGATTACAGAAAGAGGTAACCAACGAATTTTTAGTATCAATGTTTGGTGCGGCATATTAAATGGATTCCTTATTGGACCTTACTTTTACGAAGGAACTTTAAATGCAGATCGCTATTTAAGATTTCTTCAAACTACACTTCCGGAACTATTAGAAGAAGTGCCTCTTGACACTAGAATGAATATGTGGCTACAGCAGGATGGAGCGCCTGCACATAATGCCCAAATAGTAACGAGGTATTTGAACCGAGAATATCCCAATAGATGGTTTGGTACTAATGGACTGGTAAGGTGGCCGGCGAGGTCCCCGGACATTACACCACCAGATTATTTTCTTTGGGGCTACATAAAAAACGTTATCTATGAAGAACCTATCGAAGATATGGCTGATCTCATTAACAAAATTAGTGCAGCGTGTGCCGCTATCACAAGAAGGACTCTCCTACAAGTGACCCAAGCTCATCTGTTAAAAGTTTTTGATAGTTGTGTTCGAGTAGAGCATAATTTTGAACAAAATTTTTGAAATGTCTTATTATGTAGTTAATTGCAATAATAATTTTGGTTATTAAATTGTAGGTATTTTACTGCTTTTTAATTTATTTATCATGTTTTCAGAACTAAATCGATAAAAAATAATAAATAAAATCATACTAAAATAGTTGAAATCTATTGTTTGTAATTGCACTTAAAACAACTGCGATAACAATGGTTGCCATAGTAACTAACATTCATGGCATACTTGTAAAAATAAGCGTTAATCACATTTTTTATTAATCAAGAAATGTTTACTTTAAATCGGTATAACTTAGAAACGGGTAAAGTAAATAAGTTTGAGTAAATAACAAAAAAGTTTTTAAATAATATGTACTTTTGTATGCGCGTATTTCCAAAGTCTCTGCAATCGAATAATTTTTCGACGCGTCGCGACGCCCAGCTCTTTGCAGGCGTCGAATTTTTTAAACTTTAGGAAAAGTCTACTTGACCCCACACTTAGACTACTTTTTACATAAATTAAATATTTCTTTTCGTTTTGGAGTTATTGGCGTGCGGAGTTTTAAGTGAAAAACTCTGTATATATTAGGAAATCCGAAGCAGCTTTTTATATATTTTTTTTTTGTAAGAAATGCCCAATATGGCAAGCAATTTTGACTGTCATTGTCGATTCATGGTGGTCGATGTAAGTTGTAATACAAACATTACCAAGGGGAAAGAAGACATCTCTGTTTCAGGTGTTAATGAAGCTGTATCAATTAAAGACTAAGAGTGAGTTTCTCTCAACTTTTTTACTTTTGCAGGATTGAGCTCATAGACAATCTCCAAATGCTTTTCCTGGCACACCTTCTTTTTATTATATTTTACCTTCTTTTTAAGACTTTACAAACAGCAAGTCAGCTTAGACTATTCCTTTTAGCCAGCAACGGTACTTTTAGAAAACTCGCGTTTTGCAGCCTCTGTTGATAAGTAATAAATAAATATTTAAATAATAAAATAATAAAATTTTCACTTAAAACATAAAGAAGAGCATTCCGGATTTATCAACACTTTACTAAATTCTTTGTAATTAAATTTCAAACTCATGGTTTTATACTTTAGCACAACAAATAGTAACTGTAAACTGACAAAATCATTACTGAAAATCTACTAAATAATTATAGTAGACAAAACGGAACAGCTATGCTATCGAAGCATAAAAATATTGTTATAAAATTCTCTAATCTGTAATTATGAGATGAGCAAATACGAGCACGTAATTTTTTAATATATAAAAAATATACCGCTTCGCGTAGCTTGGTGTGGCCCGTATTTAATTTAGTATAATATTTATAATAGATGATTATGAACATTAAACTTCAATTTTCTTGGTGATGGGTAATTTTCTGATTTTTAAAAAGCCTTCCACTAATAATTTAAGAACTGACAGGAGAGAAAATGTAATAACCAAGTCGAAAACCATTCGATAAAAACTTCATGAAATTAGGTTTATCAATTTGAGAAACGCGTCTTACGTCGTATCTTAGTTTATCCAGTATTTTTTAATGCCTCTTAAAATATATTTTTTTGGAAAACCTTTTGTAAATAGATAGTTATAGAAAACGAGATCAATTTTGGTTTTTATCCTCTTGTTGAAACTGTGCGTGACAGTGCTTGAGAGAAAAAATTAACGTAGTTACCTTTCGTACATGGCTCGTTTCCAAAGTTCCAACGCTCCGATCATTTCCCGTTTCTTGTCGACGCACGTCGCACCCAACAGTTCCAACGCGTCGATGCGCTCGCGTCTCGATACCAGATTGGGAAATTTGATTAAGTATTCTACGATATGATTGTGTCCGGTCACCGCGGCGGCCAACAATGGCGTCATTCCTGAAATATACGTTTGTTACCGGGCGAGTTTGCAATGTTTAAAATGCGAAAGAGTAATAAAATGTATGTTTGCAATGACAGAGATCATTAAACAACGTGGGCAAAAGTTCAGAAAAATTATTTGAGTGATAGTTTTCCATATTTGGGGTTCTAATGTATATACCTCCAACCATTCCTAAATTAAGATCACACTAAAGTAATATGACAGCGGCGTTACTAAACGTAGTTTATTAGGTAAACAAGTACAATAATAATTAAGAATGCTTATAACTACAGAGATGGGCAGATAATCCAAATATTAATTTTTCTAAAATCAAGTAAATAAAATATAGAAGTAAGAACAATATGATTCTTTGTAATAATAATTATTATTTAACAAAACTATGTACCGAATGACCCCCTCCCCCCTTAAAACTTGTATATTTAACCTTTGGGAAAAAACGTCAAATACAAAAGTTGCTCAAAAAATGGTTAGTTATTTGTAATACATATTTTGATATGTGTGTATTTTATTTTATATTTTTATATATACAGTGATATATTTAGCAAAACTTACGTTCTTTTTATTATAAAATGTTTTATTCTGAAAGAGGAATATAATTAATTTTGGAAACGTTTGTTAAAGCAAATAAGAGAGCTAAGACTACACAATGAAAGTTGCAGACAAAAAAACCTTTCATCGAATCTATGAAAAATTTCAACAAACATTTAGCCTAGCCAGAACGAAGAATGAAGATAGCTAAAATTTGAAGAAAATTCTCATATTTCGGAAAACCTGAAAAAGGAGTTTATTACATCGTATATACATCGTACGGAAGTATTCAAACCACTCTCAAAAAAGCAGGATACAAAGCATTCCACAAAATTAAAAAAAAAACTATTGCATTCAGGTTAGGATACAGGTATTAGGATATAATATTATGCGAAATGTTCTCTTCTTTCTGGCTAGGCTCCATGTTTGTCGAAATTTTTCATGGATTCGATAAAAGTTTTCTTATCTGAAACGTGCAATCGGGGTTTAATTACACGTTCCCTTTTCCATTGAGCTAATTTACCCCTCTCAGTTGGTTTAATAAACGTTTCCAAAATTCATAAGATTTTTTCTTTGGGAATAAGGCATTTTAATATGACAAAAGGAACATAGTTTTGCTAAAACTGTAACTGCCACTGTCAATTATAAATTAAAATTTTGTTTTTTGGTAACGACCTATTTCACAGTCACCTAAGATATAGATGTAAATTCCAGAATATTATTTTATTTTTGAACGTTGCTTTTATGTTAAAAGTACATATATCTCAAAAACTATTAGATTGGAACAATTTTTGGAGGACGGATAATATACAGGGTGGTCTTTAAAAAATATATAATATCTGTGTCTGATTTATGCAACACCCTGTATGTAAATGTAGAAATTATCTTGCAAATAGCTTACGTATTTACATTATAAATGATCACCCAGTACAAAACAACTTCATCCAAAGTCCAAAGAAACAGTGGAAAATAACCTATTATAGCATACTTAATTTGAATTCAAAATAACTTTTCTAATTGGAATACAGATGAGACGATAAATTTATCTATTACATAGAAGCAGCATTATACTTCTTTATAAACATTAATATTTGAATTTATTTTCTGAATTTACGAATTTTTCACATTTTAATTTTTTCTCGCGATCCATCAATCACTCCACATTTATTTTAGAATTTCTATTTATTTGAACATAAACTTACAATTTAGAAAATACAAAACAGATAAAAAAAAAGTATCAACTAAGATAATATAATATTACGAACAAAGCTCGCAGATAAAGTGATTTTTCTTTCTATTCGTTGTATTTTGACATCGAACCCACATTTCTTTAGTACGAGGCCGTGCAAAAAGTTCTCCTGGCATCCTACTCTGTTCTTGGCAAAATGCTTTGCTACCTGGGGGAGCGTTGTCGTTTTTAAAACTCCTTCGTGCAAAGATGAATTGCCCATTGTAGTAAATGAAATCCGATGTTATTTTTGTTAAATGCCTGACCTCGAGCAAATGACTTATTTTCAGGGATCCTTGAAGGTATTCTCAGATTTCTTGTCAAAAAACCTTTTACCCATTTCATTCTGGTTAAAATGACGTAAGTTGTGGACCTTTGCTAACCCGTTAACTAGTCTTCTCAGATCGTTGGTAGCGAAACCAAAAAACTTTGTTTCCATTTCCACAATATGAATCGCTAACATCTTTTCCATTTCACGTGGTTATATTATTTTATAACCTCCAAATTCAGCCTTTGGATAGGCACCTTTTTCAAATCTTCTCCGTAAAGTTGGAACATCAAATGTTTTGGCAGCTAATTTTTCAAAGAAACTTCCACAGTCTACAATAATACTATTTACAAAACTTCTGGATTCCTTCTGCGTCGGTTGTTATTGATTCGAATTTGCTAACGTTTCTACAGTTTCAGCTAAGCTTTTAAGAAGCCAACAGGATGATTGGCGAAACGTCAGCAAGTTCGAATCAACAACCGACGTACGGGGAATCCAGAAGTTTTGTAAATAGTTTTGGCAGCTAATTGCCAACCCTTTTTCTTTTATTTTACGTTATTGATCGGTTTTCCCATAGCATTTTCATCCCATGCTTGCCGTTTTTTTGCATTCTCGTCCATTTTGGCTTATAACTTAAAATTACTAACAAATCTGAAATGTGAAGGATATGTAATTTTGTTTCTTATTATGGTATATATAGGGTGCATTGGATCACATCATTATGCCACCATAGGAATATGTAAATGTTGGAAAAAGAATGGAATAGATGGCTTCGCACAATTATAACCTCAAAACGCGATAACCCGTATTACCATGTAAAAAACTATCTTTTGTTTGTACGTAATAAATGACTATCAAAAATTGTACATCTAAGACTACGAAATTCTATATTGAGACTTACCGAAAAATTCCTTTAACACACGTGGTGAACTGAACTAGCTAATGCAGACAGGAAGCGAGAAGCATTCCCAGCATTGAGATTTTGTTAGTGATTAGTGTTATTATTAATTTAGTAATCACCGTGGTAAGGTTTTAAATCTAACATAGAAATATCTAATTTATATAATTTTTATTACTATAGAAAAAGTTAATGGTGTTGCTCCCAAAAAAAGTTGATACACCAATATGAGCACTGCAAAGGAAAGTGCAATCTTCTAAGAGATTGGAAAAATAAATTGGAAAATAGTACTAGAACACGGATTTGTCAAAGGAACAGGAATTTTCGATACGAATGACAGTAGTGTATTAAATATTATGTTTACCATAATTCAGTAAATTATATTCCTAAAGAAAAAGGGTTTCCGCCATTTAAAGGCCCAGGAAGTCAATAAAATCAACGGCTTTTTGCCCAGCATACATGAAAGTTAATATAGAAAACAATATGTACCGGGTGAATTTAATTTTTCAAAGAGTTTCAGTTAAGCTCGGAAGAAACCAACATGTTGATTGGCGAAACGTTGGTTTGATTCATCAACAACCGACGCAAGGGCAAAATTTATAAATAACAGCCTAACAGATGTGTACGGGATAAAGTTTTAACCTTGGCCTTCAAGTCAAGAGTTAAAAGGAGAAATGCAGAAGTTTTGTAAATAATACGGGTGAATGTAATTAGGCAGCATGTAGACAACCAAAATAATCTAAAGCATTAACTTTAGAGAAGCGTAAAAAATTGGCTAACCAAATGGCATCAAAAATTCCTTTTACAGAAATTCTGTATCAAGTACGGGATTCTTTACAAGATAAAAAAAACTATTATTTTGTTTCTTATTGTTATAATTACTTTGGGATTCGTTTTTTAAACTAAACTGCTGCTTTCGAGCAAGAAAAATCTCACCTAAATTTAAAACTCAATGGATAATGGATTTATTCCTTAGGATACATTTTTCGATGTTAGATTATTTAACAGTCAAAATTTTCAAAAATTTTATAGGGTGTTTAAATAGAAATAGAAGAAAGGTGTAGTTCCATTATTATCCTGAATTTTAATTGTGATGGTTAGTGACCACACTAGTTCTCTTCTATAAATTATTTAATATTTACTAATATTTTCATTTTTATGGTTATTTTTAGATGCCGACAATAGCAAGAGCCTGTTTATAGATATAAATCAGACGCCTGAAGAAGTCGATGGCATTTTAACTAATGGGTGCAGGTCCAGGATGACAACTACTACTACTACAACTAGTTGAAGCTTACAAAAGAAGGAGAAGATAAACAAATTTATTACCTAATCTAATAAACCTCGCAGAAAATGTCTTGTATGGAGTAAGTTGATGTATTCAAAAAGCTGTGCTCCTATAGAATCTATTATTTCAACTGTTGCAAACTAGCATGAAGCTATTAAAAAAACAACTTCAGATATTTCGTTTTGTCATTAATGATAAAAAATAAAATCACAAAAGAGTAAACTACATTCAACCAAAAAGAAAAGAAAAAATAATGTTGCGGCCCTTGCACAACAGTAAAGGTTTTGGCGTCACAAAGATAGTGGATCTCATAACTAGCTTATCACAATCTTAAAGTTCTTTGTTTCACATATGATTGAAGACCTACTAAGAGTTACAATGGTCAGGTATTCCCCTCAAAACTATAAATACTCCAAAAGAGCCATTGTAGGTAAAAAAGTACTCAACGACTCTTGGGCACAACGAATGTTTATGTCTGTCAGTACTTTTATGAAGTTCTCCTAGATTCAAAACAGTATTCACTTCATAAGCGTCGTAGATTATACGCCTAAGTAGCTCTGCGTGTTGCTCTTTAAACACTCGCGAAGTACCAGCAACTTCTCCCACTTTCCTCTTGACTATCCCATTTTCAACTTTTTTTCTTACAGTTGACTTCGGAACTTTGGTCATGTCACTTATTTTTATTGTTGCTCCTACTTCCCATTGTGAATTTCTTATAAAATTGTAAACATTTAAAATAATTTGTTTAGCATCCGAAGACAAATGGATCCATTTTTTTATTTGCTGAGGTAGTTCATCTTCTAAATTGTCATTAGGTTCGACTACCATCTCCACTTCGTCTTGAAATTCTGCGTTGCTTTCCATGTCTTCTTCTAATAGAGGAACATCTGCTTCATTTCACGGTCTCCATATTTCAAAGTGTTAAAAAACAGAAACCTTCAAAAAATGTTTAAATGTAAGATTCTAATAAATATTTATCTATATTCTTATGATGTCTTTTTATCTACCACGAATATAATCTATAGTCTTAAAAAAGACTGTTGTTATTTACAAATCGGAGACACAAAAATACAAGAAGAAGAATGTTGCTAATCGACAGGCACACAAGATAAACATGTTTTTTTTTAAACTTACCTGTAAGATAAATAGAGTACAGGTAAATTTGATTAAGCATTAATGCTGCGGGATATTTTCAAATAAGTAGAATCGTTCTTAAGAGTTTAATCTAAATTCGTATATATTACTATACTTGATATATTATGTAACTGTGATCCTTCCAGTAAGCATGTATTTTTTTAATAAAATATCTAGTGAAAACAACCTCGCAGGGTCAGAGCTCGAGAATCAGGTACATAAATACGTATTTACCGGAGGATCACAGTCAAATACCTCCATACGAACATATGGTAATTTAGATTAAATTCTTAAGAACGATACATATCACCTGATGTTAAAATAAACACTTCTACTTATTCGAAAATAACCCGTAGGATCAATGCTTAATCAATGTTAAACCGGTCCATTTACGTTTGAAATAAAAAATTCAAGTTTCTACAAATATTCGTTACGGTTCATCTCAGGCAAGACCTATTAAACATATGAACATATGTTGGGATGGGTTTTATCACGTTCTGCGGTTACGGCAGCGTACAATACTTAAATATTTTTGGTCGTACTATACCTAAATAGTTAAATAAAATCTTTAGAACAAACCTCGTATATTTCAGTTTTAATGCGCTTTACGCAGTCCGTGCTTCCGTCAATAGAAAAATTTGATTAGTTGTATGTTTAGTTGCCTATAAGGATGCGATCACTGTGATTTTTGCCAATGTAACGAACCAATCCGATGCTAGTCGATTAATCGGGAATGATCCTTATTCGAAAATAAGTTCGGTATGCTATCATAAGCACCATGCCACCACACCACCGCATTCTGTTTGACGCACCTACTCCATTTTTCACAATCTTTATTGAAAGAAGTTTTTAAGGTCCCATTTTAAAAGTGGTGTTGTGGATCTACAAACGATTTTACTTGACCTCATACCAACTCTACGTGGTTTAAATCGCAGTGATATACATACCATTATACTTCGTTTTGAAGCGATTTCAGCAACAACAATTTTTGCACCAAGTAACTAGTCTTTCTGAAATTGATTTTTTTTAGCAAGCAAGTGAGAAGACGAGGGTATTTTTCAGATTTTCTGGAGGGGCAGCTAAAATTATCAGACATTAACAATTAACAGACCCAGGAGAAATCAGATGTGCTGGAAGTAATCTTCAAAAACATCAGCATTCATGTCTTTGCGGTGTCTTTAGTCCGTAGTAAACCACACCGACAAATCCATTTTTGGTATGTATGTCTTACTTTTTCCCCAAAGTGCTTCTATTCCAGTGGACCATCCTTCCATGAAAGTTTGCCTCGCGCTGTTTATCCTGCCATGTTTATTTGCCAACGGTACATTCTCCATTCCAAGTCTCGCCCTGATAATAGATATTATTATTTTCCCCTCTTGACTGTCAAACTGCTCTCAAATATAGTTGTCGCTAGCAGATAAATTCGTCTTTCTTTATTAAAAGTGATTTTCAGTTTTTCATAACGAAAATTCATTTCCTTCGAAGTTTTCTATAATTTCTTGATAATAATGGGCGGAATGAAAGCATCTTTGTTCATTTCAGACATTATTTTGTGAAAGGTAGGTAAATCAGTTTCTTTTCTTTGTTTTTTTTTTCAATTTTCGCCAAATAACGCGTTATATTTTTTAAATATTAACACGTCTGAGGCGTTGCCAATTCAACTCGAAGCAGAAGACAATATTGCAAATTCAAATGGAACAAATTGTATATAATTAGTATGTTTTATGGTTTTGCGCAAAATTCTAAGTAACTTTTGTTATCATATTCTTATATCAATCTCGTTCCCTTACTTCATAGAAAAATAATTTTATTTTTGCAGGGAAACATCGCTTCATTAAAGCTTAACATTTTTTTGTGCAAATTTTGCAAATTTTAAGTAAATGTAAACTAAACTGAACGGTACAAGGAATAAGAAATAAAAGAAGATGCCTAATTTGGATTAACTAAAATGTCGAAGTTATAGAAGATGGACATTCTGTAGGACTTTCTTTTTTAAAACCGTTCTCGTTATACAAGGTGAGAATGTAAGGCAGCAAAAGGTGGGGAAATTTATCCATAATATTGGGCGGATCACTTATTGTAAGGAAATAATAACACCATCTAAACTGCTGCAAACAATAATTTGTACAGAAATTCGTCAAAAACCAGTGATGTGCGAAATTACATAATAACAATAATAATAATAATAATAATAAACTCCCCTTTGCAAGCCGTTGGTTTTTACTAATCTTTATAAGTTATGATGGCTTAGACTTATTTTATAGTTCCAGTTAAAAAAAAAAACGCATGTCGCAATGTATGACACAGACGTCCCGAGGTGTAGCGTTATGAAATTGACCGGTCAATTATTTTGTGTCAATTGACCAATGAATTGATGGAAATAATTTTAAAAATTTAATGAAATGTATATATATTTATATTGTGCGTTACGTTGCCGTTGCGCCTTTCTGGAAATTGGACATCGCAATCACATAGTAATTTATTATAAAATATATGTTATCATTAAATAATGATAGACAACACACTATAATTGAAAGATATTATTATAACATTTTGGTCGAATTTGATTGGTCAATTAGATTTAATCAATTGGCCAGCCACAACACTACCAAGGTGTAATTAGAAATGAACCATTTCTATGAAAATAGATGTTTTAATCCTATTTTAAATGTTTCTCCACATTTTACTACTTAAATACATCAATTAGATTAGCCACCAAGAATTGACTAGTGACCGAGTTAGTCTAACAATAACAATATAAGTATTTTTTAACATTATATTTGGCATCCTACATAACAAATTTGGTAAATTCGGAATAATAACTAGACTAACTTTTTTTTAATGTTACGTTTTTTATTCATATTTTAGATTAGGGTAGAGATATAGATATGCGAGTTTCTCTGGGGGTTTTTAAGTCTTTATTTGGCTATATAAAGATAAAAAAGTCATATAATAATAATAATAAAAATAGTACGTTTATTTGCCAAAATACGGCTAGAACAATACACTATATATTTTGATATATATGGCAAGATTTGGTCTCAGCCTCCCAGATAATAGGAACAGAATTATTAGCAATTTCAATATATCTGCAGCAAAAAGTAACCACACTCGAAAAGTCGCTAAGATAATACTTGATTCATAATAATAATTTGGTTCAATAGTAATTGAAGGTCACTTGTTGAGCAGAAACTTTTTGGATCGTCTCTTGAATGCAACCGCTGCAAAGATTTTATATTCTTCCGGGATACTATTATAAAACCGGTAAATGTTGGACGAAAAGGATCTCTCATAGAAAACAGCTTTATGAACTGGCGGCGATATATACCAACAATCGGTTCTGAAACGAATTCTGTGAGTGAGATACCAAGGACTCCAAAGAATAATTATATTATGAAACAGTGAAGCAGAGTGCTTTTTCTGTCCTCCATTGATAACCGATTTGTCTAGCGTAGTGTGTAGGAAACTGGTTCACGGCGGTGAAAAACGACCTCAAGCAGGATTTTTGGACAAGTTGCGTAAACAATCGAAATGCATTTTTGTATCAGGTTTAAATCTTAAATTAGGGCCAAACACTAAACCTAAATTCCGAAAACAACTCATTTTTTCCACTTTAATTTTAAAATTTTGTGTAGAAATAGGTTATTTTCCGGAATACTAAAAATGCAGATTTAGATATTTAGTAAACTATGTTTGTTCTTGAATTCCACTATATGGTTTATGTCTCCATTAATCTTTTCTTGTACCAGGTGGCTCATAATGAAGGATGCCGGCCATATCTCGGGAACAGTTAGTCCTACAAATATTTATAGGTAAATATGCCAAATGAAAAAGGTGGAAATTATTTTCAAGTTCAATTTCAAGTTCAAAAAATAAATAAAGAAGATAGGGGAGAAAAACCAAAAAAGACAAGCTCGGGAAGAAAAGGAACAAATTAAATGTGTTTGTGACAGAAATTTCATTTCACTAAATAAGTCATATGCGTACCGTAAGAATCCACATCCATAGTCGCTCCGTGGTCGATGAGCAATTTTAAAATTTCTAAACTGCCCGATTCGGCACAGTCGTGGAGTGCGGTGTTGCCTTTCACGCTTTTTCTATTCACGCTGGCTTTCAGGTTCAGCAGGTACCTAGCGATTTTGATGTGTCCTTTGAAACAGGCTATCATGAGACATGTGTGGCCGTGTCTATTTGCAACCTAGAAATTAAGAACTTACTCAATATGATGCAAACATTTCTGATATTTTGTATTTCAGATGTTGATACTTCGAAATTTCAAAAATGTAAGGGTTTCTTCCATTAACCACGCAAATGCGCAAACTCGAAATGAACATATAGTTCCTTGTCTAGGCCACGGTATGTAGGCGCTGTTTTACAAATTACCATAGAACTATTAAAAATTGTCTTTCTACTTAAAATGGCATTTCAATATACCTTCTGTTCTATTAACTGTGATTATTAAGGTTTTTTTTTCTTGTTTCCGCTTGAATATTTTGCGATTTCTATAGGTATTACAGAACCTCTGCTGTGTAGAATTGCACACAAGGTGTAAAAACATCTAGGTTGATGTTGGTTAGAATCCAATAACCTTAATGTTCTAAAAAAATTGCCTGGGAATGGATAAAAAGTTTGTTTCTATAAATATGAACCACTGGATTATGCTTTTTAATAGCTGGCGGTAACATTTATTTTGCTTCAAATTTCATAATTGTATTCCTCCAAATAGTTATGGAGGTAAATAACATTTTAAGAACATGTTTATCGGTTTGCTCGCTAGTTGTTTTCAAAAATAAATATGATGATGATCCAAAGATAAAATGACGTATGTGTTCAAAGAGATCGAAGAAATAAGTTTGGACATAGTCGTACGGGAAAAAAGGAAATTTAAAGCAAAAGTAAATAATTGACCAATGACTACTCAGTGGTAGCTAAAAAGGGCCATTTCTCTGATATCCTAGATAAAACTCTCAACTCGGGCGGTAATCAAAGAAAAATTATTCTTATGGGGGATTTAAATAGCCGTATGGATATTAAACACCGTAACCGTAACAGTAGCAGAAAGATTGGGAGAAGATACCCTCAATGAAAATAGCCACAGATTGATAGACCTGTGTCCGCACCATAATTCGAAAATAAAGCACAGCTTCTTCAAATATAAAGTTTACTTGGTAAGATAGTTATAACGACTATAACGTTTTTTTAGAGACCAGCAGAGTAGTATATCAAGATGTAAGAGCGTTAAGAGGCAGTGAGTGTGGAAGTGACCACTTTCTAATAAAAGCAACAATTAAAATTCCATTAAAGACAACCAAACCCAAATTAACTAGAAAGTTTAAAGAGCTCACTATGAGAAATAACTGCGAGACGAAAGACCTATCTATGTATATCGCGCCATCTCCAAAAGCATATCGAGAGGAGGAAACACCAGTTCAAATAACAGAATAGACAGTAAGGCACTAAAACGTTAAAATAACAGGGCCAGTAGTCCGGAAGGAACACCGTCAGAATTTGAATCCCATTTTTCATATTCCTACAGGTAAACGCTGCAAAAACAAAGTATATGTGTGTGTTAGAGGGTCAATGGAAGATCTAGTAAAGATTGACAGCAAGGGGAGATGTGAAAAAGAAATACAGGATAGCATAAGTAAATGGATGATCGGGGATCTGAATTCAATTCTATTTTTAATATGATCACCTCGAAAGGATGTCGCCAGAAAAAATTCCCAAACAAAATGATTTTCGCGGGGGTCGGCTTACATAAACCCCACTAAATTAAGCAATTCACCATATTTGTAATGCTTTAAACAATAAAGAACATATTTTAAAGCTATTTTTGACATGTCGCGAGCTTTTCACGCAGTTGTTCTTCATATTTTGGAAAATAAAAAAAAAATAAGAAAGGCGTTAGAGGAACTCCTCTCAATTGACATGTACCAACTGACAGAAATTGACAGTCAAAGGTCCACTAAACTATTAATTACAAGGGGCACAGAGCAAGAAACTTATCTGTTTTCAACGCTTTTTAAAGTGCATGTGGTTAGTCTTCTGAGAGTTTAAAACAGTCGCTGACGATTCTAATGTAGTTATACTGGGAAAATCAAAGACATTAAGGCAAAAGGAAAATACTAATAAATCCGTGGCAATGGAATTTGCCGCCAGAAATAGAATAATGAATTCCAGCATTCTATTAAAAACTGATAAAATATCCTTAAAAAACTTTTGTGCAACAAAATTTCTCGGATTATTTACTGATCAAAAACCAATATAGGCTACTCATGTTGACTATCTGGCAGAAAAATTAAGCTCATACTGTTTTCTATTAAAAAATACAGCCTCGATTATACAATCTACTATCCCTTATGGAGTAATGTTTTGGGGAATCTGGAAAAATATTTATTCCACAAAAAAGCCATAAGTTCAATGCGGCATAAGCAGCTCAGACTCTTCTAGAGAATATTTAAAAAAATTGAATATATTGACTTTTCCTAGTCGCTATATCTATTATTTGACAATTTACACAAAGGTATCATTAAGAGATGCGAAACGTATGAATATAACATTAGGCATATGTACCACGTACCATTTTCAAGATTATGGGTATAAAATGCTTAAATAAATTATTCGAAATAAGTAGCGACTGTACGGTAAACCTTGAAAAAAAAAATGTATCGATCAGTATGAGTCATTTTTCTATAGACGCAATGACCCAAGGTTAAGTCTGATATTCGATTAATACGAATATCTCGAAAGAGAAGAGTTCTCTTATTTGTGCTCTTAGTGGCCAGTTTTTTAAAATATTCTATAAAAATATTCGACAGGAGAAAGTGGGGAACCCATAGCTGATTTTCAATTAAAATTTGCAGGTAGGTTTCGGATTTTAAGATATCTGCTTAGTATTTCAAGAACAGGAACTTTAGTAAAAAGAAAAACAACTTGAATTGGATGAAAATAATTAAGCACAAAATTAAAAAAAATTTAAGGTGGATGGAGCACCGATCGGTTTTTAGTTCCTGACAACGCTCTACAGAAGCCAGCAGTATGTTTGGAGAAATGTTAGCGAGAGTGAGCGACGCTGAGATATAAAGAAGAAATGAACCTACAGTTAGACAAGTTTCGGAAAGCTCAGAAACTTCGCTGGAACTGGTATGATACGAGGGGTAAAAAACTTCTCCAGCAAGAACTTCAAAGATAGAAGAGGAATTTGTTCAAAGCAATAGATCAGTTGTAAGTTGAAGAAGTTAATGTATTATGAAGATAGAATAGAGGCGTGGTGCGTGGTTTGCTACGCAGATGATATCGCACTGACGACTAGCATCCAAGACGTACTTTAGAAACTAGAAGTTGAAAGCAGTAACTTGGGATTAGATACCAACTGCTCAAAAACCAGGGAAAGGGCTCAGAATAATCAACCAAATATTCAACGCAAGGGTAAATGTCAAGTGGTTAACAAGTATGGGGTATCCAAAAAAAGATTCCGTACTTATCAGACACTTTAGCGTCATCTAGATTTCGTTAATTTTTAATTTTTCATATACTCAGGGTATTCCGTTTATCTGTGGTAAATATCAGCACTCTTATTTTAAATAGGACATCCTGTGTATTACTGCATTTTTAAATTTCCCGAGTTACTATTACCCCCGTGGTCAGTTCAGCCTCGGTGCAAGGGGGGATATTTCTGAACCAAGTAGGACGTCCCTACAACTCCGCACTGGACGATCGACGTGGGGAGTCCTCAAGCTCGACACGCAGCATCCCAATGGCTGAGAGGGAAAGTTCCTGTAGATATGCAGGACCGGTGTGAATAAGATATATCAAATACCCACGGATTAACCCAGAATATGGGGTAAGGCAGTAGCTATGCTCATTACTGTACCGAGGCACACGAAAACAATTCCTATATGGACTTGGCATTAGATATCCGAAGGAGGGAATCACAGTGACATAGATGACATAATGTGCGTAGTTTGTTCGAAGGGAGACAAAGCCATGTTATTTGAGAAATGAAAAGACTTAAGTGGTCCTTCTGGGGATGGGCTAACTCTGGTATCTCTCAAATAAATGAATACCACGTTTATTACTCGGGTAACGATGACCCCCGACACTGGAATGTAGTGGGAGTTATTGTCGGTGACGTCATAAATATTTCAGACAGTGTAATTCTAATGCAAATAGAAACTGATTCCATTCCAGACGACGAAGCAGAACTATTTTACAATGACATAAAACACGCGCATTGTGATGTTTCAATCAACACATTAGTTTAGGAACCCCAGTACAGACTAGTGCAATTCTGTCAAGAGGGAAACTTATTATAACAAATACTCATTATAAACACCATCCAAGGCATCTTTACACTTTGACTTAAAATACTGACAGTTTGCTTTCCGAAATGGTTTAATGTAGAAGTGTTTCCATGTTTCGTGGACGAAAAGGGCCTTCGATAGAGTAAGATAAGGTAGATGGAGTGACATTTGCATTATAGCGAATCTATTTCGAAGCCAAACAGCGGCCGTCAAAGTCGATAACGAGCTTTCAAAGGAAATTATGATTAAGAGAGGGATACGTCAGGGCTGCGTTCTGTTCTCATTATTATTTAACTTGAACTCAGAGAGAATATTCAGTGAAGCTCCGGACGACAAACAAACATCATAAAACGTTGAAAACTGGCAATACAATGGCAAATACAAACTATGACACGTCCATGAAAAAAATAGAGGGGAAACGAGGCGCATAACGTCGTAGTAAGGGCGGGGAATTCAAAAAAGCCACAAGATACAGGGTGCTCCATTTAAAATAAGTAAGCTGGTATTTAAATCAGGTAAACAAATAAATAATGACTGAAATATATGAAATATTTAAAAAAATATGTTTTGAACACCCTGTATAGTTATCCGGGAACATCGATTTCTAATTAATTAATAATAGAAGAACAGAACAGGAAAAAGTATATGGAGCAGAAACATGGTCGTTGAAAATTGTCGACCGCAGAAATATTGCCGTATTTGAATTCGGGTGTTGGAGAAAGCTTCTGCGAATACCATGGATGGAAAAAAGAACTCATGCATCCATTGTCCAGGAAAACACCAAAGATTATTCAAAATAGTACAAGTTGGAATCTTTAGATATTTCGGTCATCTACAGAGAACAGATGAGGATAACAACTAATAATAAATAAACGCGCCTACAATTGAGAAAAATGGCGAGAAATGGTTAAACCTGTAACCCAGTGACGTGCAGATCACGAGTTTTCTGTTAAGAGGAAAATGAAGACGAAGATGAGGCGCGCCAAAGCTTATCAGACAAACGGATTATCTTAATATGTGCCTTACCTCAATATCCGCGCCATGTTGTACCAAATACTTGACAATCTCCAAATGGCCGTCGAAGCAGGCCGCTCTTAAGGGCGTCGAATTGGTTCGGGTAGTCGCGTTCACTTTGGCACCGTGACCGATCAAGAGTTTGACAATGTCCAAATATCCGGCTGCTGCCGCGCACCACAATGGCGGCGCCCCTTCGATGGTCTCACCATCGAACATAACTGAAACGAGGACACAACATATCTTCCTTAGTGCCTTAGCTTTTGAGTGATAAATTTACGATTGCGATTTTCCAAAGAAACTAATAAATATGCGCGTGCCACACGGTTCTAACTTAAGACCAAATTTTTCAAAGAAACTTCGACAGGCTATTGTAATACTATTTACAAATCTTCTGCTGATGTTTCGCCAATTATCCTGCTGGCTTCTTTAGAGCTTAACTGAAACTGTTTCACGTCAACAAGTTCAATTTATAAACAACCACCGCAGGGCGAATCGAGAATATTTGGAAATAGTATCTCAAACCCTGTTGTTTGCGGACGACTTAAATATGTATTCCTCCATTTTCAGTGTAGCTGAATGCCTTAAGTAAATGCAGAGTGCAGTGCATATTTTACCGCTAATATCCAAAAATTATTAGGATGCATAATACCTGAACATTTTAGGGATTATGGGTAATTACTGCGACTGTGACGTTCCATAATAACTGAACACATTAGGAATAATGCATAAATACTAAAATCGTCCGATATTATTCATATCTGGGATATTCTGTTAATATTGATAATACCTAAAAATTTTACAGGAATTATCATTTAGTCATATTGCATATTTCCTAGTTAGGACATAAAATTTCTCTGTAGCGTGAATGTTGAGCACGCGTGAAATATAGGTAGGTTAGTGTGTTTCCACTGTTTGTCATAATGACTGTGTTAGCTGCTGATAGCATTAAATTCAAATTTATTGAAGAAATTGAGAAGCTAAGGGGAAGCACAAACTCACGACTAAATGTTTTGTTCCAAGAAAAATATGACGCACTCTTAGCAGAAGTAAAGCAATTTGTCAAAAGACCTGTTTTATCAATTAAATTAATGTGTTCTTATAAATTAAATAGATTAATTAAGATTACATTAATGCTCCTTGCAGTATCAGCCCTAAAATCCCGTTACAAATGGAAGATGTGCGATATGTAATCCCTGTTGCAGAAATGTTTGACGTTATCACCAACATCCACCGAAGAAAAAGAGTACTCTAACTCTACAGCGGTCAAAAACGCGGAATGCCTTACTGTAAAACCTATAGTAAACTCCAGTCAGAGTAATTGTACAGGTGCGTCACAGTATGACAAAAAATTTTAATTTAGTTTTTACGATTGCGTATCCGAACGTACCTACATTAAATTAATTATTTAAAATTGCAAGTGTAAGTGTTTTAAATTTGTTCTTTATTTTACGCATTTTCTTAAATTATAGTGACAATGGAAAGGAGTTCGTAAGTCAAATAATACAAAATTTAACGGCAGAATGGGAAGGTTTTAAGCTGGTAAATGGAAAGCCTCCTCACAGCCAAAGCCAAGGAATTGTTGAGAGAGCCAATGCAGAAACAGAACTTTCAACGCTGGGATAAAAATGTCGCCATATTCGGCACTGCACCCAAAGTTGGCTTTGTAGCAGAAAACCTACCTGGCGAATGTGTTACAGATATCATAAACGAGGAAGATTTAGACGCGTTACTGCAGAATAGCGTCTATGACGAAAGTAACTACGAAAATGAAGATAATGATAGCGGCAAAGATAACGATGTTCCAGAAACGCAACAGAACCGCAATCCACGTATTTTGGATATTAGGAGTAATGTGTTAGAAAATCTTCAACAAGCCAATAAAATAGTCAGTGCTTCCAACACTAAATATTTGCCATGTTTAGTAGGTACTCACATTCCAGTTCCTATTCCGGATGTTGATCGTGCACGTGGATCATTCCGCAATATAATTGCCCTTGTGATAGAAGCAGATCATGTCAATAGCATTTACAGACAGTAATTATGTGCCCGGTTCCAATTTGAGCCTTGTTTAAGTGTAGACTTCTTGAACGTGAATGATATCCCAAATGTAACAACTACCACGTCTAGGATGATTCGGGAGTACCATAATGACTAAATGTTCAGGTAGTACGCACAATTCCTATAAAACTTTAGTTATTATCAATATTAACGGAATATACCAGATATGATTCATAATATCTGACAATTTTACTATTTCTGTATAATTCCTAAATTTCGGTGATTACCGATAATCCCTATAATGGCCGGGTATTATGGATATTAACGGTTTTCGGATACTAGCGGAAACACATACAATTTTCGGATGGTTACCTCAAACGATTTGCATCTTAAAATAGGCGAGTGAAATTCTCGATGGTCTTACAGAGACTATAGATTTGAACATGTATTTCGATGCGTAAAACATATAGAGAGCAGGATAATCGTAATTATAGTTTTATTGTAAGTAATTGTAAATATTTTTTTTCTGCTCCCGTCCGTAAAATGCCTAATTACACACCCATCTAGCGTGCGGGAAGCGTTACTTTACCACGTCAGTTTCGTTTCCCACGGATCTAAGCCACTTCGGACCTTTCCGGGATTTTACCGCACAGATTTGGGAGCAATCGAATGTTTTCGGAGATATTTTTATTATGAATTGTGACGATTGTCAATTCTGACGGTAATATCAGTGAATGTATTCATGTTGTTTTGCGAAAATGTTCGTCGGGTAGACTGTTTAAGTCACTCGTGAGTCAAATGCCGTTTACCGCACTTGTTGCATAATATTCTGTTACCAACATATTTGTCTTGAAAATCCTTGACTTTAGCTTTGTGGAAAAAAGCTAATAGTACATAGCCACCAAGACTTTTAAATTATGAATTTTATTTAGACGGATTTTATTGCTCTTCATTTATAAATGGTTACCTAAGGTTACAAGCTGTCCGAATTTGTTAGCGTACTTTGGTATTCGTATGCCAGGGTTAAATTCTACCACTAAAAGTTTCTTCTATGTAGCGTGTTTTAATTGTCATAATTTGTCAAATGTTTGCGATAGGTAATATGCAAATTGGGAAATATATGTTTGATGTCAGTTCGATGGTAAGTTAATACACGTTAATACAATACGAACTGCACCAATGGAGATATGGATGCTTTTGAATTTAATAAATTTGGTTACTGAAAACTACTTGTTCAGTTTTTGGGCAATGTTTTCATGTTGATTCCTTATTTCGTATTCCGTATTCCATGCTTTTGATTTTTTTAGTGTTATTGAACTATGTCTACTAATTTTTTATAATAATATATCATACCAAACGCTTGTTATGCCGAGATCGTATTTTATTTTCAGCCGAATTATCGTGATCAGATTTCCTCGAGTGCCCGATTGCCCACTATATTGCTGCCATGGTCTTTTTTGAATAGACAACAAAAGCCGAGCTGATCGTCTTATTTCAGTATGTAAGTACGTAAGGTAGGCCTAAAATTTTAATTCGATGGTTTTTTTCGCCGTTTCTTAAATTTGTTCTATTTCTGTGAACTTATACTATTATTCCGCCAGCGGCTTCGAAAAGGGAAGGCCAGGAAACATTAAGTTTCAAACACTATTTTTATTCTGATATTACGCTATATTGCTCTGTACCTAGTTGTGAACAAACAAAAAAAACACATTGTGAAGTGTGTTGTGAACAAAAATGAATTAAAAATTTGAACGAAAGAGTCATTATTGTCAAGTATATACCGATCGAGCGTAAGCCTCTTCATTCCGGGTATGGGAGCCATCGGATTTTCTCAACGGTTTGAATTTTGATTCTGCTGCTCATGTCAAACGTCACTCAGTGAATGTATTCACGTTGTTTTGCAAAAATATATCCAATAACTAGAAACAGTACGTTTGGTAAACTTTTGAGGCCACTCTTTTATTGAGCATTCGCCGTTTAGCACACTTGTTGCATAATCTATTAATGTTAAGAACTGAATTGTCGTTAAAACAAATATTCATATTAAGAAGTATATATATTTAAAGTCTATTTCAGGAAAGCAAAGAATATTAGATTACGCAAAAGGATTAGAGGGTGATCCAACGAATACATTATATAGCCATGATTTAATTTCAAAATTTAAAGGAAAGAATTTTATTTCGACCGAATAAAAATTAGGCATGTAGTATGTGGGTGCCCTTATCGTTTATTAGATGTTATATAAAAAATACATTATATATGGAATTAAATTATAAAAAATCATAATATTCTTTGTCTTCTGCAGAATTATTATCTCCTCTTGACGTTATACTACAATTAATGGGTCGAAGGTTCAATCGATCCAGTTGACGATTTTCTCCTTTTCTTTAATCAGAAGCATGACTGCATGTCACCAGTTCTTTGGTGTTAACAACAGCATTATTATTTAGTATTTACAAATCGACCTTGCTGACATTTCGCCACTTGCAACTGCATTCAAAACACTACAGATTTCCCACTTGTTCAAAAATTTTTCAACATCTTCAATCCATTAAAGACAAAATTGCGTTTGAGACACCAGGGACTTACGATACACAAAAAAGCTCACCAGCAGTTGCAGAACACAATCATGAAACCGGACATATAATCTTACTCGACCAAACTAAAATTCTTGTATTAATCAATCAAAATTAAGCAAAGAAAATCTATAGAAATCTTTAAACAACCAAACGATCTTAACCACGACTCAGGTCTTTCTCTTTTACCAAAATGGGAATCAGTCATTCGAGAAGTTCACGTCCCTCCTTTAGCTCCGCCCCCTCAAACAATATATAAGCAGACAGACAGTAGAATACAAACCAGTTTCAATTAAGCTAAGCAGAAGCCAACAGGACGATTGACGAAACGTCAGCAAGTTCGATTCATCAATAATTGACGCAGCAGAAATCCATCAGATATGTAAATAGTATTTTTGGTGTACTCTCTAAGCCATTACTATTATTTTTGTTTATTATTATTGCGGTTTTTGTTGTAATAATATTGTAAGCCTAACGTGATCATGTGCGGAGGATATCATTGAGTATTATTATTATTATTATTTATCGAGGCAAATACATTTATGTTTTACAAAATTTCTGGATTCCTCCTGCGTCGGTTGTTGTTCAAGCGAAATTGCTGACGTTTCGCAAATAATCCTGTTGACTTCTTCAGAGATTATTAAATTATTAAACGCTCGCTCCGCTCCTCCCAAATAAACTCTTGACTCAAATGCCTTGTTTAATAATATACTATTATTGATGGTAATCGATAACTAAGATTTTTTTAAGTAATCGTAAACACCGCTTTTTTTATTATTTCTAAGTTAAATATATGTATGTGCATGTACGATTAATCATCACGGAATTTTCCTTTTAGCTGTTGATGAATGAAACTTGCTGACATTTCGCCAATCATCCCGTTAAATTCTTCAGAGCTTAACTAAAACTGTTTATCAACAACCAGCACAGACGCAATCCAGATTTCTAAATCGCAACAGTATTGTTTTGGTGAGTTTGGTATTGTTAGTTATAATTCTAGTAAAATGTTAGTAAAGTGGCGTTCCATACCTGAGCCCGATTGTTCAATGTCCGCGTGGCACTTGTCGATGAGGTATTCGGCAACGTCGTAGTGCCCATTTCGGCAAGCGATTACCAACGGAGTTGCGCCAGATGTTTTCGCGGCGACAAGCATCGACACCTCGTCTTTCCCCTTGTTGCAGTGTAAATATATCTGTAAAAACAACACGATACATGTATTATCAAAATTTCGGGATTGAGTAACGCTACTATTTATATGGGAAACGGTTTGGTAAACAATTATTAATGTGTACTGCGCTGCAAAATCACCTCGAAATTTTAGAAAAACATTTGTGAGGATGCGAAGGTATATCGCTTTTTCGATCCGAAACGTTATATAGAAATATAAAATGTAATAGCATAAAATGAAACCAAAACAAGGATGACGCAATTTGAATATTCGTGAGGCAAATGGCGAAATTCTCTCTGGATTGACTAAGCACACGAATGTTAGATTTAACATTCAGAATCAACCCCTACTTCCGATTCCTATTTTTGATTCTGGCTAGCTACTAAAACGTTAATATCTCCAAATTAATTAATTAATACAGCTATTAATAACATAAATAGTAACCTCAGTATTCTGAGTGTTAGAGTGTTATTTCTAGTAAGCATGGATTTTTACTCAATGAAAATAAGACTCAACTTTTATTTTTTGGCCATAGTAACTAACTGGCCAAAATAAATTTTATATTTATTTAGGGTCATTTTTTGACAGTAACCTTCGTTTTTCTTTACACGAACTCCGGAAATCAATGTTACTAAAGACACCGACAAAAATCTGTATGTATAAAACCATAATAAGATTGGCTGCGAAATGTGGACTTTGACGGTAGCCAGAGGCAGCTCGTGGGAAAAATTTTAAGATGTTTGGCAATTCCTGCAAAAAACTAACCTTAACCACAAAGGGATAATTATTAATTTTCTGAATTATTTTTTTTCTGAATTTCTTTGTAAGTGCCCTTAATTTTTTTTAACGTGCTCACTTAGACTTGTATCTAATTGGGGCGAAATATGTGGAGAACCAATTCAAAAGCTCCGCAAAATTTAATACAATTAGTAATTTTTGATAAAATACATCTATGACATTTTCATTATTTTTCTGTATATTTACCCAATAAGCAGAATCTAATTGAGCCCTAATATTGGTTGAGCCTAATAACACAAATTCCGTACAATTGTGAATGTGGGCTTTTTGAAATTTCATACCTTTTTATTTTCAAACATAAATGCTTTAGACCGGTGACCCCTATTTGCGTTCGAGGTATATCGCCACCAAAAAGTAAGCAAGTAATATATAGCTTTTTTGTTACATCCACAAATCGGCTAAGTCAGTCAGTCAGTAATTTGCTATAATTATGATGTTTTAAAGTATAAGTGTAAGTACAAAAATATTTAAAAAATCCTCTGATACAGGCAGAATTAAAAATTATTACGTCAAATTATTACATTACAAATTTCAAAATAAACAAATTAAATTCCAAAACTTAATGTTGTACAGGTATATAGATCTAATTTTCTAACTGTGTTCCCTACAGAACCACTTCCATAGAGAACTTTAATTTGGTTCAAAATTCTATTTTTTAGAGCTTTAGTATCATGACCAACTAATAACAAAATTTAACTGCCGCATATGAAAAGTTTAAATCGTCAATTATTTCGCAAACTATGAGTTTCCGGAATAGACAACCATATATAAAGTAACCTCAACTTTTACTGCCAGGTCGGAAAAAAGAAAGTGAGGTTTCCATTGAAAATTTTGACTTTTAATGTATTTTATAATTAAATTTTTGGAATCAAAATATCCGGCAATAGGTCCTTCCACATTATTTTAGGGTCTGTAAAAGTCATTTTTGACATAAAATTGAAGATTAGTCGAAAAGGCTTAGGTATAGGACATTATACATGAAATATATCTAGAATTTTCTGGAGAATCCAAAAATGCATAATATGCAAATAAGAAAGCTAGTTATTCACTCCGATGTAGTACCCTGCATATACGCAAAGTATAAAATTACAAAATCTAGAGACTAAAAAATTTTTGTATATATTTTTTTTCTCGTTCGTAGTTTTTGTTGTGAGGGCGTGAGGCGAAACACCCTGTACACAGAAACTGAATTTGTCTCCACTTATTATCCAAATAATAGTTGTGCTGGAGAATCTGCTCCAGTTTTTAATAATATTTATCGCTGAACATATCTGGATCAAGTATCCCAAAAAGCTAATTAAGGCGTCGCTGGATCCACTTAAAATGTGAACTTATTAGTAAATTGCAAAGACCATTAAACCACTTAACCCACCTTTCCCATCTAAATTGTAAGCGTAAATCTCTCTATTTGAAGATGGAGTCTTCTACGAAAATCTGTAAATAGCCAGTCACTTTTTTAAATACTTTTTGAGAAAATGAATGCGGATTCGTTTATAATTTACATCCTGTAGATTGTCGAGAAACCTGTAAAATGTCAAATGGCAATACGCTATGCGAATTTTTGAATCCTTGGAAAGAACTAAAAAAGATTCCAAAAATATAACAATAGTTTTATCTATTTAGGAATGAATTCACGGCCAACTTAGGTTTGACATAAAATTTGCACCTATCTAAATTTCGAATATACAAACAAACTTGGGGCGTCCATTTAAACTTATATCCACGATATCAAGATCCGGTTAAACCGGAAGTAATTTCAACAAATGAAACACGTAAAAAATGGGGTTTTATACACTCCATACTAAATTTAAAAAATCCAGTAGTCAAGCGAAAAGTAGAAGCTTGTGTCACACGGTAAGTTACCAAAATTAAATGCATTTAAGTGGCACTTGCCATTGACAGTGGCCCACTTTTTATCGCGACAAACGTTTTAGTGAAACTTTCCAAATACTCGTTTCGAAATAGACGCAGGTGCAAGATCTCTTAATTGTGACCAATTCGCTGGAAATGAAAAACTAATTTTGGAATGTCGCAAGGATAGAGAAAAATGCCAACAAATTTTAGAAACAAGGTTGCCATTGTCAGTTTAAAGCGAGAGAGAGAAAATGGAGAGAAAGAAAAGTAATAAAGTTTTCGGAAAAACTTCATTATATTTTAGAAACCAAACGATATAGGAATTCAAAAAAGAATTTACTCTTAGAATATGTGATAATATATTTTCCATTTAAAAAAATACGTTTTCATCATGCGCATCATTGGCTTTGACCAACTCTGTATGATATAGAACTAATTTCGTCGTAGAAATACAACTTTAATTAAAGCTATATGAAAAAAGAGAGAAAGTAATTAATTTCTCGAAAACCACTAAAGATGGGTGGGTACATGTATTATCCAAAAACAATCATAAAGTTTTAGCGGATCGGAAAATGCAATAATATCCATGGTACCCCATTTAAAATTTCAATGTTGATGCTACTTTTACGTCCTATTTTTAAAATTTTCAGAACAACCCAATCTAAGGGACAATCAACCGTGAAAGACGCCATATGCCTATTTACACCTCCTGCCATACCTAAAGTTATATAAGATTTCTTGATTCAGCTTAAGCGAAGCGAAATTCTTTTTGTCATTTGTTTTTCCTAGTATTGATTCGATATTTTTTTTGTAAAATATTCTCGAAATAAATGAACAAATATTAAATATTTAAATTGTCGTTTTTTGACGTAATCGATATAATTTGTAATACAGATGGAGTTAATTATTTTGACAACTTTTAAGATGCAAAACACGAAAAGATTTTAACAAAAAAAACAGATAAAAATTACAGTAAACGTTTTTCTGCCATTTTTTCTTCCATTAATATATAAGGTTAGAACGGCCAGAATAATAAATCAAAAATATTCGTTGCTTTTGCATGTTGGGGTGTTCGTCGCCAAATTTTCTAAAAAAATAATAAAAATTATCATAGAATGGAATGGAATAATACATACGCCATACTATTCCAAGAAAATAAAGTGGCAACGCTGCAAGGACCTCAATATTGTAAAAATTGGGAACATTCTTTGTATGCTTCTAATAAGCCATCGAGTTTTATGAACCCTGTATAATCAAATTATATAGAAATGAGCCCGTAATAATTAAAATAGGAAATCAATGTTATCGATTGAAAATATTTTTACTTAATAATGCAAAATCACATGTATAATTGTATAATTAAGAAAATGTCAGGGTTAATGACTTAAATAACCGCAAATATTAAAAGGTGCGGATGAGTTATACTTGATATTCAGTAAAACCCAATCAGTTGTGTTATCTGTCGTTTGGTTAGAAATTGGATTTTTAAAAATGTTATGTACTTTTAAAAATCGTTTAGCTTCACAGGGTATCCCAAAACGTGTATGCAAGATCTCTTATGAACAGTAAGAGATGGAAAACATCTTTTAAAACAAATTACAAGGTTTTAGGTGTACATGGAGAAGCAGAAAACATTAACTATACATTTTACAAATGGGAAATTTAAACAACCATATTTTTATCGAAAAAAAAATTAAATACAAAAGGTGTGCGACGAAAGTGATATTATACAGGGTATCTCTTAAGTACCTCATAGCACCTAACTACCGCATTATAAATGGGACACTGCGTAAATATTTTTATTTTTGGATTTCTGAGAAAATTTCATCGTTCCATCAGGTTTTCCCATACCTAATCCAAATAGTTTCTTAGATATCTTGATTAATTTAAAAACTTTAAATATTGTGCCTTTTAACGATTTTTGCCACGTGTACACTAAACGAAAACATAAGAACCATTCTCTCGAAATTGTTATTGAGAATTGTTGGCTATAAATTACCAATCAATTACAAATAATCATTTTACTATTTACAAATATTCTGGATTCCACTTGTGCCTGTTATTGACGAATCAAACTTGCTGGAGATTCGACAATCATCTTGTTGGCTTCTTTAGAACTGAGTTTTGGTTAATTAAGAAATGACATCAGTGCCAACTTTTAATACGCTGCATGATAATTTAGGAAATTATGGTAGTTTTACCAACCCAAAAAAATGAAAAAAGCACAAGCACAAAAAGCTAGTACCTCTCAGAGAATTGTGGTCCACCCATACAAGTTGTCAGTATCCCGTATCTCAAGCTTTATATTGAGGGATACCGAGTGACGTTTGGAATTTTGTAGGTGGTTTCGGAATATCGGTTAGGACGATCAA